GGTCGAATTAACGAAAGTTTACATGAATTTTCCTGAACAAAAAAAAAAAAAAAAAAAAAAAACGTAGTATCGCGGGTTTTTTTTTTTTTTTTTTTGTCGCATGCGTTAAAACGGTTTAGAGCGTTGAGGGGAAGTGGCCTGGCGGTGCACCAAGTTTTGAGTGGCGCATATTTTTCTCGTGCGAAATACCAACCGAAAATAGAAAAAAAAAAAAAGAAAAGAAAAAAAGAGAAATACCTCTGAGCATACATGGTATCGTTATCAGATCTCGGAGGTATCGGAGTGAGCTACTAAAACTCGATAAAAAGTGGACCTGCTCACATGCTATATACTCCGTTCACCCTTAAAAAAAAATTTAAGCAGTTTGGGTGGGACACGCGTGTCAAAAATTAACGAAAAAATCCTCAAGGTGCAGGCGAGCTGGTATATGTTGATCGTGATGTTAAAATCCGGAGACTAGAAATAAGGGGACAGACAGACGTCTCAAACTCTGCTAACCGATTTCATTCCGTCCACAGCTTTAATAGCCAAGCTGTGGGCGGAATAAAATGTGTTGGCTGAGTTTGTCTGTCCCCTTATTTCTGTGTTTTTTTTTTTTTTGCCCTTTTTCTTTCAAATTTTCCTTCCCAGTCTTTTAGTGTTGTGTCGTTTACCCGCAGTCTCGGGGTTTTTTCAACCATAATTCTCAACACGGCGTCGTTTCGCGTTTCGTGGGACTCGGCTCGCGGGTGGCAGCGGACGGCGGGCGTGCGACCTCAACTTCAGAACTGTTGTTCACGGTACCGGCGACTTCTGTCTTTTTTCTAAAGAGAAATTTCGGACCGATCAAAAGAATAGATATTCATCTCGTACGACACGCCCGACCAGCAAGCCGATTACACGAAGACGTCGCCGAGCCGTCGTCGCTCGCTCAAACATCAAGCACATCGAGTTCAATGCGCACGCGTACGGTTTCTTTACGATGTGCGAATGTGGCATATGCGTGGTGCTGCCCGACTTCAAGCCGGGAGTCCATGTACTGCAGGGAAATCGCCAGCAAACTTTCCGACGTACAGTCGACCGGATGCATAACTACGAACGAAAGAGTTCCTTCACTAGCTCAGTGGAAAGACGCCCGCTTCACACGCAGTGGGCACAGGCACGTACCATTTTTTTTCCAAACATTTTGCGATGTTTACATTTCTTTTTTTTTTTTTACAATTATCACTGAAAAGAACAATTGCTGTGGACGATACGTCGCTGAACTAGATGGTATGGGATTCCATTTTTGACACCTGTGCGGCACAATGCCACTTTTAGATGTGATCCAGCTCTTCACGCAACATCTTGGGAGTATTCTTTTCGGAGCCGATCACGGGAATTTCCCACGGGCACTCACTACTAATTGCCAACACTTAGATGTGCAAAACAACTCATCTTGAAGCACAGCGCAGCGAGAGGAACAAACATAATTGCAAAGGAATCGCACGGCGAACGGATCCTGAACGCATTTCGTCTGCTGCACCCGGAAGAAAAAAAAAAAAAAAAATCGCACGGCCGGGTGTAGCCACGTGACTTCCGCCACTCACTCTCTCCTCTCCTCATCTCCGTGCGGTGCGTAGGTTTTGGTTTCAGTTTCGAGCATTTGCGTTTTTTTGGCTTATTATTAAAAAAATACGCGACTCTGTAGAAAAATATTAATTGGGTAGTATTCCAACACCATAATAAAGCGCCTGAAAAAAATTGTTTTGGGGGTGTCAATGTCCCTTTAAAAGAAATATTGTTTCGCGTAAAATCTCGATAGGCGTGTCCCAACCAAACTGTTAAAAAAAAATCATTTTAGGGATTTTTTTTTTTTTCAATGACCCTCTTTCGTTGGCGCAAAATAATAATAAAAAAGGTATTTATACTCGCCGATGTTTCTATTTGTACATGTCATATGAGAGCCCAATTACACCTAACACAATTTGCGGCTCAAAAATTTTTTTTTTTTTTTTTTTGCTTGAAAACGGTTGGTTTGAGTTGCGCTCACTCTCTTCTCCGTGATCACGTGCAGCTCTTTATGGTTTAGACACAACCACCAAAGAAGATAGTCAAAGTCATAGGTCATCGAAGGCACACACTCAATACTATAAATGGACAAAATATATTGTGTACCCATCTTTTTGTGGCTTCTAAAAAACTAAAAATATGTGATTTTGGGTATTTTTCTCTTCCTTCCCAGTCCGGTTTCGGTTACGAGCAGTTGCATTTCTTTAGTTCATTAGATATATACACGTCACTGTAGCAAAATATTGATTGGGTAGCCTTCTATACTATAATAAATCGCCTGACAAAAAAAAAAATAAAAAAAATAAAAATAAAGGGGGGGGGGGGTAGTGAGAGGCTCGAGTCAGGGCTCGTGGTACGCACTTGCGCAGGGCCGGCCCTAGGTGTGCGTAGCCTGGGCGATCTCCCAGGGGTGCTCTCAAAAGGAATTTAAATTTTTTTCGCCATTGTCTTCGATCAAGTGCGCCGGTGCGCACCGGACGTCCTCGATCAACGGAACGCACCCTCCCGGTGCGGCTTTGCGCTGCCCCAACGCGCACAGAAAATCGACGGTGCGTCCTTGTGCATTCCCATCAGGCATTGCGGCCAGGAGCGGGAATCGAGGAGCTGGCGGGAAGAGTAGACACAGTTTTTTCGAGGTGGCGACCTTGCGAAAACGAACACGCCTCGCAGCGGCACTCGATAAATTCCTCAGCTCTTCTGACAGCGAAGACGACGAGCTTCTTACCATCGCCGCGATCACCGGCGATTGCTGCGGTGGCAAGGAGCGCCCAAAAGTTGTGAACTTTGTGGAAAGTGTTGTGAATGAGATTACTGGCTGTGTGCCATTTTGGCACACCGCCCTGCTGGAACTGGGAGGTCACTTCACTTTTTGACAACATTGTCTGGCGGTAAAGTTTAGCAGCTAGTAGCACCGATGTGCACAACTTAGCATTTGCTCGTTGATGCTCCTATAGGTACACTGCAAAGAAGCTGCAATCTGGGAGAAAAGCCAGATTAATGATTGAGGTGAAGCTTTGGGGATAGAACCTTATATGCACCAATGTGCACGGTAGCATGTCCAAGAGCTCAAATGTGGAAACTGAGCTTTTGCTCATTGGTGCCATTGGAAACGCTGCAGAGAAGCCGAAATCCCGGGAAAGGGATTGTTTTTAATGCAGGTGAAAGCAACTTTGGGGATATCTCGAGCGATCTCGGACTTCGAACAGCATGCAGAGCCTACAGCAACAGGGATAGTCCGCATACATGTCTACAATATTTTTCGCTATGCTGCGTTGTGGTAAAATAAAGTGTGTTGAATCCCATTGGAAACACCATAAGCATTTTCCTCTTGTCAAATTTTAACCTTAGAATACTTTTTTTTTTTTTGACAGGTAGGTAGTCTGGGGATTGGAGACATGCATATTGGACATTGTTAATTGTTTTGAGTAGGCAATGTTTCGGTAGTTTTATGCATTGAGAAGATTTTCAATAACAATTTTATGCCACAAAAAAAACAAAAAAACGATGTGTGATCTTTTGGAGGATGGTGTTCATTCGGGATTCTATGTTCGTAGTTTCGTTGCCATTACTATATGTAAGATCATATTACTTTTGTACTAAGCACTATGGAAGGCTATACAAACTCCACATCTATAGACCCGAGAGCGTGATTGAGCACACTTCATTGGAATAAGTTGGGTGTAATGGAAATTGTGGTTTATAATGTGGCAATCACTAGTTTGTATGGGGGTCAGCATATATTACCATCCTTTTCTTTGGTATTCTGTTCCATAATTTGGCGAGAGATGACCAAACCTCTGACATGTGCAATTTCATTAGTGCCTTTTCAGCCAATTGTGTTGCAAAGCTTTTTGTAATGTGTTCCCCACAAGATGCGACTCAGTAAGAATTATTATTATTTTAATACCGTAGAATACCGAGCATCCAGCCATTCAACATTAAGCGCCCATTCCCAAATTTGTAAGATCTGAGAAAATATGCACAGTACATTGATATGTAAAATTGATGACTGGACAAGCGCCCATCCCCCATTTTTTCGCGATTATCTCTAAATTTTGAGTGGGCGCTTGCCCGGTATTTTACGGTAGTAGCCTCATAATCCTTTAAATTTTAGTACCTTGCTTCCTTTTTTATTTTGTGTCACTTTCTGTTAGTGTGAACAAGAGATCACCAATCTTTTTCTGCTTTTCTGTTTAAATCAAGACTCTTAACTGAAAATAAAAATATAAATGTTTCTGTTTATAGAATGTAAGGACGGTCTGCCTTTGAGCTCTGGTGACACTGTGTGATTTACGCTGTAGACTAGAAATTTAGTCAATGCATTACGACTGCGATCCTAGTTCGGGGTCTTTAATGTGCACCACACAGTAGTGATACATGGCTGCACGCCAATACGACGCTGATTCAAATCAAAATGGGCAGGGGTGGGGATTGAGCCCAGGATCCCTGGGATCGAGAGAATGAGCTTTCGTTCCACGCGCTCTGAGGTGTGGTGCACTAAGACACGTGGCCACCGATGCGGTTGAGCATGTTTTTACCACACTGTGGTGAAAAGTGCTCACCTGGGGAACTAACCTAAGTGGTAAAGTTGGTGCCCGCCAAGATCCTTTCGAACTAAAGTGTGAAAAAGCGGCAGTGTTGCGTTCGCACCAACGGTGTCGTGCAGCATACTGTTGTGAGGCAGGCTCATGTGTTAAGATTCATTCACACACTTGCAATTGAGCAGGACCGGCTGAGACGAGACCGGTGTCCAGACTCTTGCGACAGCTTTGAACCGGATGCGCCACTGCGGAGCAGGTCCCAAGCTGCCACGAGAGGCTTAAAACCCGGTCTTGTCTCAGCTGGTCCTACTTGGTCGCAAGTGTGTACCGGGCCTTTCGACTTAGTTCACAAGAACCCAGAATATGCTTAAACTTTAAACCCTTTTCGCGCCTGTGGAAAACTGATGTGCTTTTGTTGTGTGCCCTCAGATGGTCTCCCTGAGGTTACCGCTTGCTCGAGGAATGGATGCCACGAGGCTACTTCTGCTCACGTCGGCATTCCTGCCCTTGGTAGCTCCGCAAAGGTGGGTGCCTTTGGTTTCAAGTCTTGCCCAGCTTGTGGCGGCACGGTCACTCCTCACTCGGTCTGCAAGTGCACCACGTGACACCACTAGGACTTTCTTTTTAACCGTTTGCGTACCGGGTTCCTTTTTTTTTTACCCCCGCATGTTGAATTCAAATTTCTGTCTCTATAACACCGCAGCATGCTTTCTGGAGAATATTTATTTACCAAAAACACCTAATATGACAGTCTTTCTAGTAATGCACTTATTGAGACACGGTACCATGCTGTGGCACCTCTACCTCACACCTTGAGGTCGCTCTTTAGAACGGCCTTACATGGCCTTTTTATTCGAAACTGTAACTTAGTTCCTTGTTTTTACAGTAATAGAATAGAGTTCATTAGTAATTTCTAGATCTCAGTGTTTGCCATGAAGCGCAAAATTGAACTAGATGGATTTGCCATTCTCTAAAAAATGACGGATCACACCAAAGCAGAAGTCGCCTAAATATAATATGTTCGCAAGCCGTCAAAAAGTGACATATTGTTTTCATCGCTTACTCTTACGTGGCATTACACATTATTGTGTAATTCCGATCGTTGTCCAGTTATCCACTGAACTTCCGGGAATCAAAGCCAACCTTTTCTTGAACAATGTCACCGTGTAAATACGGTAGGTTTGGGGAATGTTAGCTTTGCGCAGCACTGCATGCGAGAACCGGCTTTCCTACGTTGCTATATATATCTCATGGTGAAGCTCTTATCAGTGTATTTAAAGGACGAGAATTTCGTGCCCTGAGAGGAGAAAGCGTCATCGCACTTTCAAGCCACGTACGCTACACCACGGAGGCTTGTATGATGCTTGCTAATCCCCGTAGTCCGCCGAGAGCCGAGGATTGCCCCATCCTTCCCACGAGAAAAGAAGATGGCGTCGAACGGCAAGCTTGATGGCGTGTGCAAAAAGCATGTGGCGAGCTTGAGGTCGTCTCATTCTTACACCAACAGAGTCAAAGTCGATAACCTAACATTGCACTTGTGGTGTCACGACGGAGATTTTCTCTGGGTAGAGAAATATACGTCACTGTGGTTTGAGGTATGTGGGTCACGTCACGGTTGCCGGGCGAGGCATTTGGGGGGGGGGGGGGGGGGGCAATCGCCCCCACCGCCCCCCCCTTGGATCCGCCACTGTTTTCATCGCTTACTCTTACGTGGCATTACACATAAAAATACTGACAGCCCAGTTGGGAGCAGCAGAGGGCAAACTGAAATCGAACATTCATAAGGTTCAAACATGGAATACCTTATAACGGAAGCCTCTACTTCCTGAAATTTGTCTACCCATGTGTCTGTACATACCCCATGGCATGTGATGCAGAGTTATTTGACGTGATGTGGTGGTCACGTGACATTCTGACTTGATACCATAAGGATGTGAAGTTTTAATGTCTTCTAGACATTAAACACAATCGCTCCTGAAACACTTGCATTCCATGCGTTATTGACTTTGGAGCTAAAGGTCACTGCCAATTTTCTTTTTAGTAGTATGGGCAGACAACAGGAGCTTGCATTCCAACTTGCATTTGCATGTCTGTCAGCAGATCTCTACTGGTCTCACTTGAATTCTGTAGAAAAACATAACTGAGCAGTGCTTGAGCTAGACGCTTATTTTCGGTTCTTTGTGTATCTGCAGAGAATAAATTAGACAGCCCACTGCAGCCACAAAAACTGGGAATGTGATGCAGATATGCATAGTTTTGGGTGGTGAAGTTGTTTTGAAGCCTACGCTAACTTTTTACCTTTTTTGTGGGTAAACAAGGTCTTTCAAATTAAAGTGGTTTCAGGTGATTTCATGGCCTAGAAGTTGTAAGATCCGAACTTGCAGATTTATGTCTATTTGGAGGCGAGTGAGGTGCAAAACCCTGTGCCAGATGTCGATTGTTGAGTGTGCGAAGATCATAGTGTTCGACACACCACTAAGTGCTGTCTTGGGCAAGCTGGCAAATATTATGCAGTAAAAATGTTTTCAAAATGGAACCAGTTGATGTTTAATTTTTTTATAGTGTTAAAACGTTTTGACATTAAATTTAAAAAATTAAGTTTTAGTGTCGAACATTTTTTGACACTAAAGCATAAATATAATAATAAAGAGTTACAAATTTGAGTAAACATTTTAAGGATCTGCTGGAGGGTTGGGTAAAGCAAGCAAGTGGGACTAGAGTTTGTTGCAGGTTAGGAAAAGCAGGACAGGCGCCATCCACAAAGCTTTTAGCTCACCTTGATTGGATATTTCCTCCTCATCACTCACCTCCTCTCCAGCAATCACTCTGCTAAAGTGGAAAGGGTAGAGGGCTTTGTGGGATGTCCTTGTTCCACTTTTCTTCAATTGCAACAAACTCTACTTGGGCTCTCGCATCTTTCTTGTATTTTTTGCGTGCATTAAAACGTTGGTCGCTTGTCAGCACTTGTCTGTTCACTCCCTCTACTTGACCTTGACCCTAGTGCTATTTGTATTCTCGCGGCATTGACTGTGGGTGTGGTTCCAACGGCACTTGCAGCAGTGGCATCTACACAATTGTGGCACCTCGGAAGCTCCGGCCCAACCTCAAGTATCACGTGAGCACCTCCCTCAGTCAGTCGGCGTCCTCCCCACCCGTCGACCTCAGGGTCACGCTCTCCGGCCCGTCGGACAACGGCAGCTCCAACAGGATCACCAAGCAGGTCCAGCTTCATGACCGTGAGAGCACCTTCCTTCATCTCTTGTGTCTGAATGCACCGAGATGCCCAAAACGTGACTGACCATGTTTTGATGTAGTCCAGAGGTTCTCGAATTCGAGGATCTTAAAAAGACTGCATAGCAGCCAGAAAGGAGGGAGTTCTCCCTCAATTCCTTCTTTCCATTCGAGAAAGAGGGACACCTTCCTTTTTTCTGCAGGAGTAGCTTGGAGGTCCGCTCTCGTGGGGACAGGACGAGAGAACAGTATGAGAGGGAATGGAAAGAAAAAGGGGAACCGGTTCTCTGCCCGGTAGGAGACAATTCTGTAGGTCGGCCTTTAAGGAACCCTTCCCGGTCTTGGAATTGATGCAGGGAAGCGTTACATACGTTGCCAACAACAGTGGACATATTAGGAAATGTTTGGCTTATATCTATAGTCCGTTGCAACTCAAGAAGGTAGGGCGAGGGTAAGACGGGCTGGGGAAAAGGAAGCAAACTCAACGCTAAAGAGAGAAGAAGGTTTCTCCCTCTCTTCTCCAGTGTTCCGTCTGCTTCTGTTTGAGATACCGATGTACGAGCAGTGGCATACCAACTTGTTCTTGAGTGGGGGGGCAAACCATACCCCCTCCCCCGCCCCCCAGGTCCGGGAGGCATTGCCCTTGGTATCCCTTGGGCACCGCCGGCCAGTGTTTTCCCTGCCCAGTGGTGGCTGTTTCAGGGGGGGGGGGGGGGGGGGGGGCAAAACACATGCCTTGCCCCCTCACTTTGAGAACTGGGGGGGTCAATGCCCCCCCCCCCCCCCCCCCCCCCCCCCCCCCCCCCGGTTGGTACGCCCATGTGTACGAGTGATGCTTTGGAGTTCGTAGCATCCTGTTCAATGCTTCTGCAGCCTTATTTTGCCAAATCCAAAGCTCGGTTCAGCATCCCTTTAAGGCACCATTGTTTTAAACTGATTAGGTTTTACATGAATTTGGAGTCCTCTCAAAAATCTTGGCACTCATCCGAGTCCATAGAATTTCCTCCTTAGAAGCATCTGGGAACCCTGTAGTGATGCAGGTTGTGATCCCTACATTTTGCTAAATGAATCTTTTTTTCTTTTTCCAGGTGATACACAAGTGATAAGTTTTGAGGTGAGTCTTGTGGTTTTTGCTTGAGCCTTCCTAATTGACGAGGAGTTCCTAAAACACGGGCAGAACAGTTTATTTTTTCATTAATTAATTCCTCTATTCATCTGTTTATTTTATGTTCCTCCCATTCCCAACGCGAGCATTTAACCCATTGATGGTCGAGTTTTGTTCCCTGAGAGGTGCTTCCCAGTTGTCCGGTTTTGTTTGACAAGGAATTGTATAAAGAAAGTGTCAATGTGCTGTTTTTTTCTTAATTATCTAGCGGGTACATGTAGAGTGCTTGCAAGCTGTTTAGCTTTAGAAGCATCAAATGAAAATATTGAAGGCAGGAAGTTGTCAGCTTTCTTCCATTCGGTTTTATTTTGGCAAGTCTGCCTCCGCGACATTCCAGCGGCTCCAGATTCCTAATCGGAGGTGCTTTTCAGAACTTCTCCGTTTGATGATGAGCTTTCATCCTCTAAACTTATTTCCGAAAAGCGTTGGAAGTCTGAATCGGAAGAGCCAGTGCTCCCATTGGCACTACCGCCAGAGCAGCCGTAATGCAGAGGGCGCACCACGTCCGTGAAGTGTCTAATTTTAAAACTATAAATAGCCCAGTAACGCGAAACAGTGTGTGAATGTAACATTTATAGTTCAGCGAAGACAGCAAATAGCAATACCTCCCACAGTTTGAGAAGTTTCCCCGTTTAGGCGAGCACTTTCAAATGCGTAATCACCGTCGTACATCTACGGTGCTGACCTTCAGAAAGCTAAGGGGCGGTGCAACGATTTTCAAACTGGCTATTGAATTGTGGGAATCGGTTTGTCACGTATAGAATGAAGAACAGAAAATCACTTTTTTTTTTCACACGCTAGTTTTTGTATATAAAGGAAAAAAGAGAAAAATTGAAGGTAGGGTACCTTTGATCTCGCACAGTCTTTTGGGTCAGGTGTGCAGTGACGTCACTGGAAGTACCATGTTCAGTTCTGCCTTTAGGGTCCACAACCCCTTCTTCCGCAATTGTCAACTTCTCGAGGTTCATTCAGCTACAATAGAGCACCACACGGTTTTGTTAATTTCCAGTGGATAACAGCAGGAAAACTTGCATACTCCCAATGACGTCGCACGGTAACTCCAACGACCGCCACACGCATTGGGAAAACATCCGTTTTTTTCCTTTACGATTACTTGGCGGAATTGCTGCACTTTGAGGGGAAGGTGGCATGTTTTCTTCGACTTGTGCTAAGATAAGAAATGTAAAAAATCCGAGCTGCAAGTTTTTTTAATGTTGAAATTGTCGCACCACCCCTTGAAGTGTAAAAAACTTGTAAGATTTGTCTCTGGGAAACATTTCTTATAATATTTAATTTGGCCCGAAAGGTGCCAGCATTAAGGCTGTCCCAAGCTTGAACCCCCGTGTCTTCTTGCATAGTTCTATACAGTAGCCATGCAGTTTTAGCTCTGGCAGTATTTTATTATCAACAAACAAAGCTCTGAATGGTATACCAGGGGCTACAAGGTTCACGAGTCTCAATGGAGAGATAATACTCAACTCGCGTCTCAATGAAGACTCGAGATGATACTTACCTTGTTGCTTTGTTTCAAACTGTAAGGAGTTTAACCACAGGCAACATTGCTTCATTGTGCTCATAATTGGTGGTTGGAGGCCTTTTTATTCAATTCAGTCTTGCCAAGTTTGTCGTACCAAACCGGGGAAGGTTGGGGTACATTGGAGAGATAATGGACCCTTTCTGGAAATTCAGTGTAATCTAGTGATTCAAACATCACTAACTTTTGGCACTGCAATTCTGGTAAAAAAAGTAGCGTTTTATTAGACACAGTCGCTTTCGTACGTCAACGGCAGATGGGAATGTGTTTTAACCATGCCGTTCATTCTCGAGTATTTTCTGTTTTAACAGTGGTAGAGAAGCTAATGGTCTTAGAAGTGCTTACCTCATTAAAGCCCTAGTGAACTTGACCACATCCAGGTGCTTGTGGGCCGAGTGTGTGCCAACCGATTGGACCAGGTGCTCTCGAAATTCTCGAGGAATCCCCATCTGTCCCGAAAGGCAACCTGAGAACCCCTCCCAGTGTCATCTTGATGAAGTAAAGCTGCACAGAAGAGTGTAGACCTTGTAAAAAATAGTATAGTTATGCATCAATGGATGGCTCAGAGCTGGTAAAATATTTCCTAAACAGAGAAAACACTATGTAGGAGGGGATGGTCGAAGGAATTTGGGGAACCCATGGGGGACCCTGAGGTATCCCAAAGTTCTCTCATGGGTTCCCCTTGCTGCAGATGCTGGAGCCACTGAGAAGGAGCATTTTCAAATCGTAGCTGTCACAAATTGTGCCTTCTCTGCACTAGAGGCAACAAAATGGCAGCATGCTCGAGACAATCGGGGAATGGAGTGTCCATACTCTAAGTATAGCTTACCTAGTGACTCTAGGTGTATTGTGGCAGCTTTTGGGCTCTTGCGTGAGCAGAGATGGTCTTCCCAGGTGGGCGACTGGGGCCCTGGCAAGTACAAGCTCTCTGCGTCCGGTTCTGGTGGTCTGGACTTCTTCAATGAGACCGAACTGACCTACGAGCACAAGAGTTACTCGGTCTTCGTGCAGACGGACAAGGCTGTCTACAAGCCGGGACAGAAAGGTCGGTCTGCACAGTTTGCCCCCGCTGCAATGACTTGCACTTGAAAAAAGGCATTTAATTTAGGGACATGACTCGGATATTGAAACTAATAAAATGTCGGACACATGGGTTTTAACCATTTAAGTGTAATCTTTTAAGTATCTTCTGACATAAAATATTCCCGGTCTGGACAAGTGTCGGGGCTGCCCCGACAGGCCCATTTCCCCTTTCCTCTCAAGCATCGGGCACCTCTCGACAATTTCATCTTGCGCCATCTCTTATTGGGCATGTGAACTATCCATACTTAGTTTTTTTACCTCCAACAAATGCTGTAACAAGTGCGGCACATTTATATTTTTTTTTGCTAGATATGGGGGCAGGCAGGCATTTTGCTCGCATCTTTGGAAGAAGAAACTACAGCATTTACAAACTAGGTGGAGGCAAGACCAAAGACTGTGCAGTCTGCAGTGATATGGAAGTCAAAGAGCAAAGATGTGAAACTGTTTTCTACTGCAAAACCTGCGCTCGACACCCTGGCTTGCACCCCGGCAATCGCTTAGAAAAGTACTGTACGCTGCGCAAATACTGCTAGTATAGTTCATTAATTCAAATGAACACATTCAGGAGAATGCAGGGTTATCTCGAACTGAACATATTGATATAAGTATATTACAGGTGAATTTGAAGTCCCTCATTGATTTGATCTTTTTCCGCTTAAACTAATTATGACCAGAGGGGCCTGCAAGGAGAAAACTCGCATGACCCCCAAAAGGTTAAGAAAGTGAGAACACTTGGCATGAACTGGTAGGGAGAAGAATGCACTTTTGCATCTTAAACACAACTTAGAAAGGGAAAGAAACGGAAGAAATAATTCTTTCTTAAGACTCTACTCTATACCAGTGCACTCGCCTCAAAAAGGAAAGAAACAAACTGTGCCTTCTTTGATACATAGAAATACTAACTGTGATTTTAGAAACAATTACTATTTTTAATTGTTTTATGGAAAATTAATATTTGAATATGCCATGCCAGAATTGAGCGTGCATGTGAAGACCCAGTATTAGTCGCCATGAGACGTTAGCTCGCATGGAGGCCTGGAAGTTTGCTTCGAAGCATTAAAAATAAAGCCTTAAATAGTTGCACTTCCGTTTCTTCACCAAGCATGTGCAGTTCAGCCTAGCGGTGATCTGGAAAAAAGCTTGGTTTGTACTATTCCCTGTAGCTAAAGATTAACGAAAGTGGAGTGCCACCCTACGCTAACCCATCGTGGTCTTGGGCCAATTCTTTCTCTCCTAAGTTAGTTCGAGAATTTCGCGAGCTAATTATGGCAGACTGCCTGTTCACCAGTGTGTGCTGGTGAGTTTGGATCGCACTGACTGTGTGTGCATTGCTCGGTCCGCCCAGTGCTGTTCCGGGTGATAGTGATGGACCCGTACCTGCTGCCCACGGTCACGGGAGCCATGAATGTCCACGTCACGGTAAGCAGTCCTGGCCTAGAGCACTCGTGCACCGCAGGGCCCATCTCCTAAATTCTCCTCGAGATCCGAATGCTGTTGAAATTTTACGGGGTCTAATAATACAGTGCAACCCTCTGGCACCGATAGCACATATTACGATGTACCACTTATGACGCTCAGTTTCTAGAGTTTCTAGGCTGGAAGTGATCAGTTTCTAGTCCAGATGCGACGATAATAGGTTATAACGATTGGAATTTCGAGTTTTTTCATTATTGTTATACTTTAAGTGGGTTGCACTGTGTGCAGGAAAGGTAACGACTTGGTTGTCCTTCTGGTCTAGTGCTCTGCTCATTTCCAAGGTTCTAAAAGTGCTCTTTAATTTCGTTCTTTTGCAAAATGATTTTTCTGATTTCGGAGGCATCTCTTAATATATGTGCAAATTGTTTTACCAGTTTTTGCACACTTATTAGTATATTTAGAATACTCTATTTATACGGCAGAGCATTAGAAAGTATCTTTTGACCCATTCTTGTTTATTCCTCAGAAATGAGGTTTGGGGGTCTAAAAAAGGGAGCTCCCATTTTAATTGGTGTAATTAGGGAGGACAGCAGCATAATTTTTTGCATGCTAATCATGAAAGAGTTACATGAGCCATTTATTTATTTATTTCATACTGCAATCCAACAAATGAACCAAGCAGTAAATAGCAAATGAAACAGTAATGCTCGTACAAGATCGCAAGACAGTTACTAACAGATAACAGCCAGAATGTCGCAAAAGCGTGTACAGGTGGACACCAGCACTCCAGAGAATGTAAAAAAAAGAATTGCATACTGTCACTGGGCAAATGCCAACACTTGATTAACTAGAAAACAAAATAAACAAGCAAGGTGCACCATCACAGGGCAGAATCAATGAGGAAAAACATAAAAAGTATGCAATAACTAAATAAAACCCAGAAGAATGTTTAGTGTGGAATAAGAATGCGCGCATTTTTGATGACGTGCACCGTTGAGGGCAACTTAAAGGGAAAACGAGCAACTTTCCTGAAGCCCTAATACTCGCGGAACTCTGCATATATTTAATGAGCTACCTATGTTGATTTTAAACGAAGGATAGTCTAAGCTTTCAATTAGATGCCATTTGTAGGGAATGTGTAGAGTGCATGTCGCTGGGTTCCTTGGAAGGGTTGGTTAGCTCAGCTGTGTCTGTCCCTTTCCCCAGGATGCCAAAGGCAACAGGATTCACCAGTGGGACCGAGTCCTAACTCAGAAGGGTGAGTTTTGCTTCTTTTCTTGCCCAAACATGCCAACGTCTGAACTCCCTGAACTACAAAAGTCGGCGGTTATTTTGCGAATAAAAAAGATGGTGTTTCTTTGGCTGCCATTCTTTGGGCAGCTGGCACTAGCATATGGCCACTTCCTTGTTAACGTCTTTAATAAGTTTGGAAATCTGTCCTTCATGGAAGGAGATTAAATGAATTAGGAGGAAGAAATAACAAAAAGTGGCCCACAAGAAGCGAAGAAAAAACAGTGCCACATATAGAAAGTATTGAACCGAGTGATGTCTCGAGTGGAGACGGGAACGACAACATCTCGTGAAGAAGTTAATTCAGGAAGGAATCTTCAGAAGGTGTTGACATCAGCTGGCGTGTGAAGCTCAAGAAATGCGCGGCACTTTTCAAGCTCCTTGAAGTATATTGACTGGCCCTAACTAGTCTGAAAAGGGCACCGACTGGTGCGGGCAATGAAGCATTTTGTCTAGTCGAAGCATCGGACTACTGCGGGGGTGGTTTGAAATTCTTTGTGGTGTTGCAAAGCTGCTGGACTGATGCGCAACATTGGCCCGGCAGAAATCTCCGTCTCCCGTGCGCTTGCGTATGCGCCCTCCCATGACGTCTGGCAAAGCATGCATACTTGGTTCTTGCTTGGTGGCTTTGTCTTCTACGGTTGGCAATGGACACCACTACACATTCCTCACTGTAGGACTTTGTTTGTGTGTACTATTGGATGCAACCCACCACTTTGGTACTAGTCTCGGTTTAGTCCTGGGGACGGGCATTGAACTGTGTGTGCAGTGTGTTCCGAGATGCTTACGACGCCATAAGGCAGTGTCGTGTGTGATTGAGTAAACGAAAGGGTCGATACGCACAAAAGTGGACATTTCTATGTGCAATAACAGCTATCGCTTTCACTTCGCATGCCGTGGCGGAAAGGTGCGCATTTTTGAATGACTGGTGCTTTGCTCCGACTTGCTCGCTGTAGGCATCTACTCTTCGGAACTGCAGCTGTCCGACCAACCTGTCTTGGGAGACTGGGCCATCCATGTGGACATCCTGGTGAGTGTTCACCTTCTCAGACATGAACACAGGCTGCTGAACTTGTCAAATCGGGCAGTGGCTTGGGACACCTAGCCGAGGTTTTTAACATTAACGGTTAACCTCTACCTACGCATCTTGGCGCATCTATTAACTTTTAAAACCTCAGCCGTATTATTTTCTTTAGGAGCATATTTGCTAGTTTTTATGTCTCCCTTGGATGCCATGCCGAACTGGATAATTGTCCTGTCCTGCTGCATTAACGTGTCGGTAAACAGGCAGCCTTTTTGTATATGATGAGTACCCCTACATATATGTAGGGGTACTCATGTTCTACTAGGCAATGCTTATATGTAAGCTGTGAAATTGAGCCAGGGACATAGTAACGTTGGTAACTTTAGTTGTTCTGTTGTGTGCCAAATCTATCTGTCATTCATTGCACTGTTTTTTTTAAAAATATTTCTGCCTCTATTTTTATGGCTTTGTACACACAAACACATGCAAAAAGATGGGCGAACATGAAAGAAGAGTGCACAAGCTACCGCAGCCTCCCCCAAAGGCTCTCCTGCTGATCACTGGCAGCTGCAGTGTGAATGTCATGTGTATGTGCATGGTGTATACCGGTGCCTTGCATAGCTATGTCTGTTCTTAACCACTTGCGAATTACTGTGCCATCATTTACTATGGGCTCACAAAAGCATTTTTGGTTCATGGTTCAATGAAGTCCAATTGAGCTGTGCCCTCGCTTTTCATTTACAACAAAATTTCTTGAGAAACTTGATTTATGAAATTTATTTAAAGGGATACTACAACGAAATTTCGGCGCTTATTTTATTGTCTCTATGTCTTCAAAGAAGCAGTATCATATCGGACACACCAATATCTTGTTACAAAAGACACGAAAAGGAGTTTTAAAACAAGTTAAACGATTAGCAAAGAGCACCTGGTGGATGTCGCTAACACTTTGTTAGTAATGCCAATCTAGGAACCTTGAGAGGTTGTAACGGTTATTGTCTCACCTCCGGCCACAACGAGAAAAGAGGGGAAGGAGGAACTCCCCTCTTCATGAGAATCCCTTTTGTTTGTTGCTGAAGTCTCTATTGTCCCCCTACAAGATTATAGAAGATTAACCCGTCACTCAAAATTTGTACAGAAGCAGCCGCTTCGGCGGCTGGAACGACTAGGCCTTCCTCTTGACGTCAGCCTCGCCGTAGCTTTGCTCATCCCGAGACGAACTACATCACGATGGTGTCGGATGTCACGTGCTCCAAGCTGGGCCTTCTCCGAGCACTTGCCAGAGTGGGCCATTTATAACAAAAAATACAGCCACCAGGCTCAAAATACAAACGTGCGATTGTCATTTACGGATATCGTGGATCATATTCAACCTATTTTTGAACACGAGGGGAATATTTCAAATTTCGTCTGAGTATACCCTTAAAAGACCCCTGAAAAGAAAAATGTTTTTTTTTAAACAGTGTGGCTGGGATACGCGTGTCAAGAAAATAATTTTACGTGAAGAAAAATATTCTTTAGAGCAATATTGATGGCGCAAGACGCGATTTATTCGCTAGTTGCCTCCTTTCCACTTGCTTTCTCTCTCAGCATTTCGGGCGCGTGAAGGTGACGTGGATTGGCTTGGTCACAAGGAGGATAGAAGGGTAGGAGAGGGCATGACGTCGGCCGCGTAGCCTCCACAAGCCATGCTTCCTTGACGCCTCGCCTCTTTCTCACTTTCCTCTTTACCCTCCTCACTTAACAGACCAACGTGACCACATCACGTGACCGTAGCTAGACGAAGGCTAGCTACGGTAGTCTAGCCTTCGATCTGATAAAACCTACCGGACGGAGCGCGCGCAAGCCTGCAAGGAATCCTTCTACAATCAACCATCCATCTCGCACGTGACATGTCACGCGCATCAATTGCCAAAGAGATCTGCAATCACGTTGGCCACAAAATCGTTTAAACTTTTTATGACTAGGCTTCACCAATATTGCAACGTGCCCCCTCCTAGTACTTCTAACCTCCTTGCTTGGCCATCACATTGAGGTGGAGACAGTGTATGACTCTCTCGTTGAGGTGGAAAGAGTGTATGGCCATTCTGCGACGTCAATGACTTTGCGCACAGAATTTAATATCTTGCGCCATCAATAATGCTCTAAAAAAACTTTTTTCTCATGAAATTTATTTTTTGACACGCGTGTCCTAACCACACTGTTTAAAAAAAGCATCTTTTTCTTTTCAGGGGCCCTTGAAGGCTTCAGTTTGATCTTCTGACCAAACTTTCACCATTCTAGTTTTTGTTTTTTCAACTGGCTTCCAGTTTTGGTTTTGACCGTGTTGAATTTACACTCATTGTTCTTTTTTCTTTTTCTAGGGTCAGAAGTACTCGAAGAACTTCACCGTAGCTGAATACGGTGAGTTTTTGCAAAAACCTTACCGCAGTGTTGGACGGTTTTGGAAGCATTTTTGTGGCCGAAAACTTGCATTAAACTAAGGAAACGCTTTCTCAAAAGAACTGCCTGCATCATTAGGCCAGCCAGTTTTTTCTGTGCTGATGCTGCAAAGTGGTTTCCTAGTCCTAAATTTATAACATAGGTTTGATTATAACCATTTCATGCGTGCAAGCGTTGACTAAATGAGGAAATGCGATTAAAAACAAATTCTGTGGCATTAGTGAAATATCCATTTTATGCACAGACAAGGTGGTGAATAATTGTAAAAAGCTAAAGTCTGGAGATGAGGAGACTAGAAAGAAGATAACCAGAACACCGTCTCAAACACCAGCTGTGTTTAGGATTGGTGTTATGGTTGTCCCTTTCCTTGTCCCTCCTCCCACCCCGTTTCCCAAGATTTTGAGTGTGACACTGTTCAGAACTGGTTGCAGTCGAGTTCTATACTTATGCGTAAGAGAATTGATAAGGTTGCAGCTTTTGCATCCAGAAAGTGAATGAGCAGGCAAAGCTGGTTAACGTTGCACATATTTTTGTGTTATCCTTAGCCTCAGTTTTAATGTCTGGAGCAGGCTCGTGTTTCCGGCAAATAAGACGTACCAAGAAGAAAGCCGTTTGTTATTTGTTCAAGAGGGACCTTGTCGTGCACGGGCTTTCCATTGCTTCTCCAGAACAGGCCACATATCTTGTAATGAATGGATCAGCAGGGAATGCCCCTAGAGTAAAGTCACCTTAAAGTACTAATCATTTGCTATACCAGTACCTTGGATTACTGCAAACTTTCTGCAACATTGCTGCAGAGAAGAGCTTGGGTATCTTTTAACACTGTCGCGGGCCCTTAAGCTATGGGGATTTATTTATTTCTTGCCCAGAAACAGTCGTAGCCTAGATATTAGTCTACACCAGGGGTGGCCAATCTGTGGCTCGCGAGCCGCATGTGACTCTTTGCGTGTTAAAGTGTGACTTGCAAAACTGCTTGGACCTAGCAAGCGTGCATCCCCCAGTTTTCTATGATTACCTCTCAATTTTAAGTGGGCACTTGCTCGGTATTACGCTGAACAAGAGATGACCTCCTCTCCAGCCCTTGCTTTACCAAAGTAGAAAGATGTGGGAACATCTTCCCCTGGATTCCTAACCTGTCACCGACTACAGATAGTAAAGTGTAGTGAAGGACTAGTTTCTGCAAACTGACTTGCGTATGTATAAAGATGTTTGATGATACTGCTTTTGTTATTGAAAACTCGCTAGAGACGCTAGAGATGCGGCGCAACAGATAGCTTGGGAGAATATTGGCTCGCTCTATTTCAGTGCTGCCCACGTTTGAGGTGAGGGTGAAGCTGCCAGCATACGCCACCTACAACAAGTCGGAGGTGGTCGCCACAGTTTCTGCCACGTGAGTGCACGACGGGTTGCTTGGCTGCGGCTTACGTCGGGGATTGAGTCCGAGTTCATTCTTATTTTTTATTTTCAATTTTAAGAACAATGCACAGTACATTAGAATAGAAACTGCTGTAAGCTCATATCTATGGAGTGAACCGAATCATACGTTAGTCCATGGATCAGTTCTATAACATGTCGGGCTACAGCTTACTCCAGAGGTGCCTATAAATGGTACATTCGCTATTTCAAAGCATGAAAATACGAGTTCATTTGAGTCAAAGGAAAGGGAAAGGGTATTTTTCTCGTGGACCTACTTCCCTACCTAGGCCCTTTTTTTTGCCAAATCATTGTATAGAATCATGAGCCAGTATGGCATTTATAATGACAGAAAACTGGTTAGAAGGAAGAGGAAATAAAGCTTGCTTACAGTTTATCCCGTTTATTTTTCTAAAATGAACTCCATATTAGGCCATCATGTCGTTTGACAGTTTCACGTGAACTAGCCCACGGGAAAAAATGTGTTTTTTTCTTGGCCATTTTTTTGGGGGAGTGAACTTATCATGCTTCTATATTTTTACTAAAAACATGCACCACCTAGGTACAACTTCGTGCTAAATTAGGTCACAATCTGTCAAGAAACCGATTTATGCGGTCCCTAAAAAAGAGACAGATGTGTTGTCAGGTCCACCATGTAAATATAGTTGCCGACAAGGTGGGAACGGTAGGGAGGTGCTTCAGTTGCTCCGCCTCCAGCGCGGGCTTACTACTTTCGGTGATGCTTGGGCACCTCAAGCCACCTTGAGTGCTCACGCGAAGCCAGTGCGGGGCAGAAGGCATGTAGCACGTGCTGGAGACTGAGCGTTGGAAAGATGCACCCTGCCATTCTCGCACTGTCCGTGACTTACTAGAACACAGAAATTGCGACCATCGTGAAATGACTGGGAGAAATAAACGCTCGCAGTTAGCAAGAGTCACCGGAATCATTTCACTTCAGTCAACTTCGTCAACATTTTTTGCTAAATCATCATACCGTAAGATCCTGAGAGATGCACCCCCGCCCCCCCCCCCCCCCCTCCCCACTGAAACATAACCCACCCATATTTTTGGCATGATTTGCTATTTTATCAACAACACCAAAAGATAGCCTACTTCTGGTAATTGCAGGACTCTGGTCAATGGTGACCTCAGCAGAAATGGCATTACTTAACCGCGGCGGGAAATAAGCAAGCGTTGCTGACTGGGAATGACAGTCAAATTTGGTTCATCGCTCTGCCCTGCAATCGCAAGTTTCCCAGGTCATAAAATCTAAAACTAGCACTTTTCAACTTTTTTTTATTGCTCACCAAAAGTTAACCCTCTCCTTATTGGCTTTCAATTTTAGGTGGGCTATATCTCGAAATATTACGGTAGTTTCGATGTTGCTGTTATTATAGAAGTTGCTTTATGAATTCTGTTTTTTTTGTTTTTTTTTAATGATTGAAGGTGTGCTTTAGATAGCTTGTTATGCATGGTCCAATTATTTTGCTTTAGTAACCTTTGGTTGTAGTGTCTAAAAAAGTATTACAGTTTTTGTAGATTGTTTTAACCGTTGTTTCCTCATGCAAAGTTCTTGTATATTTTTTTATTTAAATTGCCAAAACTCTAGGTTCCAAGTTAAGCGTATGCTTGTTTCTGTTGTCTGAGTATGCAGTTGTCTTCAGTTGACAGACTGAGCAGAAAGAAAACAGAAAACTGCTAGATGCTCGACGCTACGGCAACATATTAAAAACTGAAGGACTTTCAGCCGACCCCCAAATTTCACAGTCCTAATGTTTTAGAAACAAGCTTAGTTTCGATTTAAACCGGAAAAACTTCTGTCGCAAATGTTTGTGCACATGCTTTACATCTATCATATTGCTGCTAAAGGCAGTTCAAATAAACCTTTTTTTCTGACTTCTAACCACATGTTTGTCAACTTCTACTGGGATATTCGGCAGTGAAGTGAACAAAGCAGGAACAATTGCTGTTGCAAACTCCCTGCATAATCAAGAAAAAAAATATGTGCAGAAATTAAAGTTTTAGCAATGATAAGGATAAAAGAATTTGGTCTGGCATTGAAAGGCCGCCAATGGGATAGTGGCCACTATCTGGAGCATGTTGCTTGTGTATTTTCAGGTACACATACGGAAAGCCCGTCAAGGGTACGGTCACGCTGACCGTGGCTCCGAGGACCCGCTATCACCAGCTGAGGCCCCGCCCTTACGAGCAGTACCAGACCAAGGCAGAGGTGAGTGCCGCTTCTCAATAAGGTCCACATCTCGACTTGCTGCGTCAAGGTCATATAAACAAGGACAGAAAAAATAGGCCATTCCAATAATTATCTCCTGTACACTGCTGTCTTTGTCCGCTCTGCTGGTCTTGAAACACCGCAATCACAAAAAAGTTAGTTTTGAAATGCTTTTTTTTTTTTTGGTTTATAAGTCACAAACATGTGTTGTAAGTACTACATTCAGGAAGTTCACATTTATTTAGTTGCATCGATTCAAAGTTTCATATCCAGGCTGTTTGTAAGCACCTACATTTTGTAAAGCTTTCCCTGTTTTCTTTTGTTTAATTGTTTTGTTGCAGAAGTTTTGCCCTCAGTATTTTTAGATCTAGAACATGGACCTGAATACTTTTTTTCAGGGATTCATACCTTATAAATTGTAGATTGTGATGTGATTACTATTTCTAGAAGTGATTACTATTTCTAGAAAATGTTATTACAAAGTTTTGTATCATAATTGGCAGACTTCAAGCAAATTTCTAATCATCACAAAATAAATATTAACTCGTGATAATATTTTTTTAGAATGATGCTAAAATTATAACAATGGCTTTGTCTTATGTCTTGTAGAACATGCTGACATCCTTGGTGCCCTATTTTTTTATTGGAGGTATGGTAAAACATTTGGGCAGAAACACCTGTGGTAAAGTTAAGGCTTTCTTGAAAACTTATAATAATTAGGAAACATTTTGCTTATGTTTGTGTTTAACAGAACTTATATTAGATGTGAAAATTTAATATTAATTGGATCAGAAATGACAGAAAAAAGTTAAAGACGATTCTGAGCTTGCGCAGTAGCTCTTTTTTGTGCAGTATAGCATGTCACGCATGCTTCTACGGCCTAGTGACTGCATTTTTCAGCTGGCTGCTAAGCGCTGGTAAAGTGTGTTGTAACAACTGGCTTTGGAGCGTGGCTACCAGGTTTCGGTGTTCACCGACATTGATGCGAGTGGAATGAATACTGTACAGTAAAGGCCACTTTTGATAAGCTCTGTAGTTCTTAAAAAAAGAGTTAGTTGCTTTAATCCATAGTTTATTATTCTAGGAGACTTAGTTCAAAAGCAACTTTTAACTAAAATCTGTTCAAAGAAATCGGCACTTCTGGCACGCCTGGACTGTGTAGTCCGGACTACTGCAACATTTTTCTCTCCTCTATGGAAGCCAAACTGGGCGATAGAAAAAGGTGCGTTAACTTTCAATGTGCAAGTTGAAAAAGTGAGCACAAATGTAGCCCTAGGCTTCTCCATCAGTTCCACATAAGACAAAGTGAGAACCTGGTTTATTCGATCATCCTCTAATTTGTGAAAGGTGCCACTGTTGTTGTTTCCCGTCGCATAAAACGTCTGGTTCCGAGTTGTAATGCAACTTCTAAGGAAGGCAATTTTTAGGTGGTACGCCATTTCTCGAGATATTATGGTATAAATCATTGTCTCAAAGTTTTTGAATACGAAGAAAAGTTTGAGATAAGAGGTTCCGAGATAAGTCATACACCAAAATGCTCACCATATTAGCTGCACATTCAGGAAACTTGACCTGAACTCAAACCTTACCATCAATTGTTCATATTACACCATTTTCATTGGGAATGAGGGAATTCCCAGTTGTCAAATTCCTATACTAAAACAAAAATCGAAAAATTAAAACTGTTGTTGACTTCTGTTTCAGTACAAGTCAACAATATCTCTGTGTTACCCTCTATAAGGAAGGTAACACAGAGAAGAGGACGTTCATAGTTGTCCGTTCCCTTCCCTGTGTTACCTCCCTTATGGTGCATATTATTAACACGCTCGTTTTGTACCTAATTCTATTCCAGCTTTGCATTTATTAAAACTTTGCTAACAATCAGGGCCCACTAGGACCTCCAATGTCTGCCTCTGTGCTCCGGCGTTTCAATGCTGCCAAAATGTACACCATTACGGTGGATCTTTTCCTCTAGATTTACCCCATGAACTTCATGGTCTGGTCGCTATTACCATGCGCTTTGTCTACGTGTTACTTATTGTGCGCCTTGGCCTTCTTGCGCTGTGGTGCCCGTGTCAAGTTCTCTCCGTATTGGCGTTGTTCCCGTCGTACGCAGATTGACGGGAGCGTGGACATCCCCGTGGCGGTGGTGCGAGACCTGTCCCTCAAGACGGACTTTTTCCGGCGGGACATAGAGTTCTTTGCCCTGGTGGAGGAGCGCCTGACCGGGCGCAAGTACAACTCCACCTCGTACCTCACGCTGCACGACAAGGAGGTCAAGGTCGAGCTGGTCAAGACCTCGGAGACCTTCAAGCCGGGCCTCAAGTACACCTGCTTCGTGAGTGCCCTCCGACCTCCTCGGCCGTTTGAACTCCCTGTGTCGTGTGGTTCCCAAACCCATTTCTCATGCCTCGTTAAACGTTTTAATGACAATTTTGAGAATACCGTAACGTTCCACGTGCTGGAGTCTTGATCGTCTGCTCAGACAGACTTCGCAAATTCGAATGAAGTTTTTCGGATGGGCTGAAAAACTTTGATTTACACGCTCCGACGTGAAGCTGCGTCGAAGATAGTGTCCGATCCATGCGTCTCTGTGCTTCCTCCTCGTTCACTTCTGACATGCACCGTCCCTCAGCCGTTGCAGGAATTCAATCCCCACCTCTGCCCTCTTTGATCGGGAGGAGCATCGTTCCGGCGTGCGGTCGTGTATCGCTACGGCCTTATGCACGTTAAAGACCCCAGGCCAGCAGTCGTACCACAGCACTGGCAAAAGTTTCCATTTACAGTGTACACCAGTGTCACTATACCCCAAAGGCAGACCAAGCTTTTGCTGTCTAAACACAAACGTCTAATTTGCTTCTTTTTGCTCTTGCAAGAAGTGCTCTCGTGGGAAGGTTACTAAATTACGTAATCGTAGGTTGCACGAGGTTATTTTGTGTGGTCTCGCAACGTCATGATACGTGATCGTGTTGCGTCGCATTGTCTCGTGACCCACAGTGACTGTTCAAGGAGTAATTGACAATGCAAGTAGCAGCAGAAGGAAGACACAGTCCTCTCGACACCAGAATAATTAAAAATGTATCGTAATCCCATGGATTAAGTTGGGAGGCATATTATCTGCAGAGTAGTATCTCTCCAGCTCAGAAGCGCGCGTAAACACCCAGTGAAGCCCAAAATGTGCTGCGCAATCTGTGCCGGTCAACTTTATCCGCAACATGTTTCGTGTTTTTTTAAGATAGCATTGTCAGGTACTATTGTTTTGGGGTATCATTACTGGGTATTATTAGGTATTATTCTCAGGTATTGTTATTGTGAATTGCTATTCAATATTATTAATGACTATTGTTTTTGAGCACTGTTTTTTCATCACTAATTAGTATAATTATTGGGTGTTACTGGATGGTATTCTTGGATATTGTTATTCGGTGCCATTGTCAGGTATTCTTTTTGGATATCATTATTTGATAATGTTATTAGGTATAATTTTCAGGTATTGTTATTGGACATAATATAGTAATATGAATTTGTATTGTTATCAAGTATTGTTGGCAGGTGTTATTATTAGTACATATCATTATTAGGTACCATTGTAAGTTTTTTTGTGTATCATTATTGGGTATTGTAATTACATTTCATTTTTGGATATAGTTATTGGACATTGTTATCTAGTATAATTAAATGTTATTGTTATTGGGTACTGTTAAGTAATATTATTGGGCATGGTTAGGAACCATTGTCAGTTATTGCTTTTGGGTGTTGTTATTACATATAATTCTGGGACATTGTTATTGCACATTGATATTCAGTGTCATTATTGAGTATTGTTATTGGACACTGTTACCGGGTATTAATATTGGCTATTATTATTAGGTATAATTTTTAGAGATTGTTTTTGGGTGTCATTAAGAAGAACCTGGAAATGGTTGATTAAACCTTCCTGTTCTTCTAGAGCCCTCTTTTTGATTCTGTGGCTGTTTGTCCCGCACGCAGCTGAAGGTGGCCTACCAAGACGACACGCCGGTGCACGACGCGGTGAACCAGCTGACGCTGTACCAGGGCTTCAACTTCAACGAGGACCTCTGGAAGACCAGTCGCCACTGGGTTCCTGCCAACGGGGTGGTGCGCCTCGAGCTCTTCCCGCCCAACGACAACGCCACCGTCGTGCTGGGCCTGAGGGCGGAGTTCCGGGGCCAGACGCACTACCTGGAAGGGATCTACCCTGCACGCTCCCCGACCAGGAGCTTCCTCCAGGCCTGGGTCACCACCGAGGACCCCATGGTGACTGTCCCTTGCTAAACTCTGACCGCGGTTGCTAACGGGACTGCAACGGCGGGGAAGTGTTTGTCTTCCAGGTCTTTGGTGCATACTTCCTGTCTTCAATAACGCTTTAGCGTCCTTTGAGCCTCGAATGTGCAGACGCAGCCAAAGCACGGCGGAAGACAATGAGCACATGCTGCGGGCTGTGCGCCTGAAAGAGACACCTTGCCATTCTCGTTGTGTCAGCGACTACAGTTGTCTGGCTCTTCATCCTTTCAACCCAGAACCTTTTGCATGCTGGTTTAGTTGATGTAGTTGAAAAAAGAAAGCAAGTTTGAGAAAGCATTTTTATTGCTACAGCAAACTGTACCTATCTGCAAAATTTTGTCACTCTTGTCTGAGATTAGTAAATGTAAAAAAAAAACACTTGAAATATCCTTATCTTCCGTGAACCTCCTCCAGGAGCAAGTGCAGTGATGCGAAGGAAACACACAGCACTGCAACACACAAATTCGAACATGATATTCCCTCTGGTATGACTGAAAACATAAGGTTGCTGCTCCGAAATGGAATTTTGGATGCTGCCAAAGGTGCTTCAAAACGACTCGGCCAATCGCATCACTGTAAGCGGGAGTTCCATCAAACGTTGCGTCAAAGTAAAATTTTGCACCAACAATAAGACTGATCTGGAGACCCCTTGCAGGGATCAGTATGGGAATTTAATTTTCACAATTTATTTTTTTTCTGCTGCAAAGAAGCTGCAAGAGCAAATTTTCTACATCATAATTCATTTTTAAAGTCAGCAGAATTTTGGCATAGTCTCTTCATTTCATTTATTTGATTCATTTATTTCACCTCAAGGGCGCAGTTAGGGCCTTACATAAAAGGGGGTGGTGGGGGGGTATAATACATGATTATACAAATCAAGACTCAAAAACACAGGTTGATCATTTCATTCTTCTGTCTTGTGAATTGTACGACTGTATTAGGTTGTTCCAACCCGCTTCAACTCTTTTACTCCCCCCAGATTGGCGATCTGGTGGAAGTGGAGGTGAATTCCACACAGCCGCTGGATCACCTGGTCTACGAGGTGGGTAAATGAATGCATACAACCACACTTTGTCGTCAGCTTACGAATGTTTAGTTAAAATGTGAAAAGGTTTCAGCCAAATAATGCCTAGGCATTTTGTATTTCAGTAAAGTATAGCTTCTAACTAAAACAAACACGGTCAAAAGTGGACGCGATGACCTTTGTCATACATGTTCTTTCCCAGTGGGTTGATCAACTCAAGGCTGCTTAGTTTCATTCAGGCCATCGGGCCTTGGCAACGCAGAATTTGGTGTTGATTTGACTTTTGTTGCGTTAGCTACACTGGCCGAGGTTGAGCAGTTTCGCGTGGCCCTCATAATGAGCTGTGCTCATTATGTGGAGCGTGCGGCGGCAACGGAGCTCCGCATAATGAGCACTGCTCGCATAATGAGCACTGCTCGCATAATGAGCACTGCTCATTATGAGAGCCACGCGAAGCCGCCGCTGCGCGCTCTGTTGCACCCGCCTCGCCCGCCTCTCCGGTCTGTGCATTCCAGAGGAGTGACGTCATAGCCGCGACAGACGCACTGGCGCCGCCGCGTGCCCAGCTGTGCGCCTCCGTTGCACAGTAGCCAAGTCTGACGCTGCACCAGAGCCGCTTGATCGCGCCTCTCATTTTGTGCGTATAAGCTCGCGCTACGTATATCCTCGCATAGCCGAGCTAAGCCACCGCAATTTTTGAGCAGGCCCATGTTTGCTCCCTCCACTTGTAGCAACCAGGTGGGAAGTATTACATTTAGGTCAGAAATAAAATGCAACCTTCAGAGTTTCTTTCAATGTTGTTAGGAAAATATTTTAAGCAGTTTCTTCTTACATTTTTTCGAGATATTGTTTTTTTAAAGGAGTGGCAGTGAATTAGCAAGTTTTGTCTTTGTCCACTGACTTCTTGAGAGAATTTCCATAGTCGGTGCCAGGTTAAGAGTTTGGGGGAATGTCCCATTATCCCTTTCCACTTTATCAGAGCAAACGCTGGAAAGTAGGCGATCTGGTCTCCAGCATTCACTCTGCTAGAGTGGAAAGGGGGGAGAGGAGCTTCCCCTGAACACTTTACGTGTCACTGACTGTAGGCCCAGATACTTTCTGAAGATATTTGGGTTTTTGGATAATATGAAGCATGTGTTGGATGCCTCTGTACCCAGTTTTAATGTGTGAATTCTCTATAAAGTATCTCAAACTTGGCTTCCATGACAATAACTGGTCATGTGTGAATTTCTATAGCTACAGTCGAATCTCGTTAATTCAAACTCAAGGGGGACCGAACATTTGTTTGAATAAAGCAGAGTTTGAATTACCTGGAGTTTCCTCCCATAAAGCCGCATAGGATGGGACCTGCATGTTAGTTTGAATTATCCGGAAGTTCAAATTAAGAGAGTTTGAATTAACGAAATTCGACTGTATTATGTTTCAAATCATTTTGTCAGCAATGAATCAGCTTGCCTGTATCTTTTCTGTTATTCCCATCATTTGAGGTTTCAAAAGCGAAAGCCTAATTATTGACTACAAGTTCATCATTGTTAATGAGATCTGCATTGTCATATGAGGTTTACAGCAGAGCAAGAAAAAAAGAGAAACAATTTGAAAGTCAATGCTAATTTGCTCTGAAATAAAATTTTTTTTTTAAATATTTTGGTGCTTGTTTTTTGTGTATATTCTCAAGACAACAGCAGAGTTGGGTTTAATACAGTCAAATATTATTAATTCAAATTCTCTTAATTCAAGCTTGTGGATAATTCAAACTAACATACAAATCCTATCCCATGCATCTCAATGGGAGAAAATTCCCGGTAATCCAAACTTTGCTTACAAATGTTTGGTCCCCCTCGAGTTCAAATTAACGAGAGATGACTGTACCTGCCTCAGAGAAAAAGCTATCATAACCTAAAACATTCTGGTCTCAATGATTTAGTGTGTGCTGGTAATGTCATAAGAAAACTGAAAGCATCCAAAAAGACGAGAACAGAACAACACAGCAAGCCCACTTGCCTTTATTTTCACCCAACTTTCAATGAAATTTGGTTGAGAGCTACTCCTGTGCTCTAAATTGTTGGCTGATACCGGTTAAAGGCAGAGGGTCACAGGATATCTTTTTTGAAATTGGTGCATAATATTTGCCAATTGAATTGGTTTACGACTGTGCATCAGTCCCCACAATCCAACAGTTTACTAATGTGGCGGGAAAGGTCATCAGTCATATAACGTAATGTAATGCCTAAGTTTGCCAGGTCCAGGTCGTAAACCTATTCTGCATCGACGTGAAAGCCCATTTTCCCAAACTGACATGTTTCTGTCTGGTGGGTGCAGGTGATGGGCCGAGGGGACATCGTGTTTGCCCAGACCCTCCCTGCTTCCGGGGTGCGCACATACCGCTTCAGCTTCTCGACCAGCTTCCGCATGGCCCCCCGAGCACGAGTTCTCGTCTACTACGTACGCAAAGATGGGGAGCTGGTGGCAGATGCAGTCAACTTTGACTTGGGCGGCATCCTCAGGACTCCGGTGAGAAATGGCTTTGTCCTTTGCCACACTAGTATTTGCCATCATGTCCTTTGCTGCCTTGTCGTTTGCCAAATTGCCTTTTGCCACCCTATCTTCCCACCCTGTTCCTTGTCACCCTGTCCTTTGCCACCTCATCTCCTGCCACCCTGTTCATTGCCACCTCGTCTCCTGCCACCCTGTCCTTTGCTACTCAGTCTTTTGCCACCCTGTTTTTGGCCAGGCTGTCTTTTGCCACGCTGTCTTTTGCCACGCTGTCTTTTGCCACGCTGTCTTTTGCCACTCCGTCTTTTGCCACTCCGTCTTTTGCCACTCCGTCTTTTGCCACTCCGTCTTTTGCCACTCCGTCTTTTGCCACTCCGTCTTTTGCCACTCCGTCTTTTGCCACTCCGTCTTTTGCCACTCCGTCTTTTGCCACTCCGTCTTTTGCCACGCCGTCTTTTGCCACGCCGTCTTTTGCCACGCCGTCTTTTGCCACGCCGTCTTTTGCCACGCCGTCTTTTGCCACGCCGTCTTTTGCCACGCCGTCTTTTGCCACGCCGTCTTTTGCCACGCCGTCTTTTGCCACGCCGTCTTTTGCCACGCCGTCTTTTGCCACGCCGTCTTTTGCCACGCCGCCTTTTGCCGCCCCGCCTTTTGCCGCCCCGCCTTTTGCCGCCCCGCCTTTTGCCGCCCCGCCTTTTGCCGCCCCGCCTTTTGCCGCCCCGCCTTTTGCCGCCCCGCCTTTTGCCGCCCCGCCTTTTGCCGCCCCGCCTTTTGCCGCCCCGCCTTTTGCCGCCCCGCCTTTTGCCGCCCCGCCTTTTGCCGCCCCGCCTTTTGCCGCCCCGCCTTTTGCCGCCCCGCCTTTTGCCGCCCCGCCTTTTGCCGCCCCGCCTTTTGCCGCCCCGCCTTTTGCCGCCCCGCCTTTTGCCGCCCCGCCTTTTGCCGCCCCGTCTTTTGCCGCCCCGTCTTTTGCCGCCCCGTCTTTTGCCGCCCCGTCTTTTGCCGCCCCGTCTTTTGCCGCCCCGTCTTTTGCCGCCCCGTCTTTTGCCGCCCCGTCTTTTGCCGCCCCGTCTTTTGCCGCCCCGTCTTTTGCCGCCCCGTCTTTTGCCGCCCCGTCTTTTGCCGCCCCGTCTTTTGCCGCCCCGTCTTGTGCCACCCTGTCCTCTGCCACCCTGTCCTCTGCCACCATGTCCTTTGCTACTTAATTTTTTTGCCTCAGTCTTTGGCCAGCTGATACGTTGCCACCCAAATATTTGTTGCCTTGCAACCTCTCCACACTGTCCTTTGCCACACTGTCCTTTTCCAGCTCATCCTTTGCCATTCCGATATTTGTTGCCCTGTATCCTCTCCCATTCTGTTCTTTGCCACCCTCTTCTTTGCTACCCCACCCATCCCACTCCGCCCTTTGCCACCCCCTCCCTTGCCGCTTTTTTCTTTGCCCTCCTGTTCTTTGCCGCCCTGTTCCCTCCCTCCCTGTTTTTTGCTAACCCATCCATTGCCAGCCCATTCTGTGCCATGAATGGGCAACAAGACCACGACAAACCGTCCCTCAAGAGCGTATCCCTCCCTGCCCTTTAACAGGTGCAGGTGCAGAGCAACCTGGCAGAGACCAAGCCTGGAGGACAGGTGGACATCCTGGTGTCTACCCGACCCAATGCCTACGTGGGGCTCCTGGGGGTCGACCAGAGTGTGCTGCTCCTCAAGAAGGGCAATGACCTCAGCCAGGAGCAGGTACCTCAGGATGGCTCAATATCGCTTAGTCATTCTTGTCGTTGCGTGCATTAAGTAAGCGTGGGTGTGCCTAGAGCAGTGGTTCTCAAATTGGGGTCTGCGGACCCTTTGGGTTCCATGAAGGCCTTCGTGGGGTCCCTGAAGCCTTCAACTGTCGGTCAAGCCGAGCAATAAAACTTTATTTTTTAGTCATGCTGACTGTTCCACAAGCAAACTAGACGCATGAGCATTAAGAAAGTAGGGTCGATTAATCTTCATTTCAGCTTCAAAGCTGATTTTCACACAATCGGTTCTCAACGACTAGCATAGAGTAATGGCACTCCAGTCATTTTGTTGCTTAAAATCATAATTTTTAGTTACTGAAAACAACTTTATTTTCACTGGCTCTGTGTTTGGTGGAGTATGGGTTTCGGAAATATTTTGCAGGCAGTGAATTTCGCAATCTCGACAGCCAGGCTATGCCAGTTTATCCTGTATAAGAAAACATTCACCTGGGTTTGTGCCATTTTAAGCCAGATTTGTTTTGAATATGAAGGTGATATAGATTAGAGAACAGTTTTGATTACTTCTTTCTGCATGATTCTTTGCCTCCATCACAGTGCTTAGTGTAAACAATGTTGGTTAGGTAAACAAGCGTTGTGCTTGCCACCCGGTGTTTCTATCGAAGATACCGTATTTGCACGAATATAACGCGAGGGCAGGTTTTGATGCCCTCAAAAAGAAAAAAAAAATATTATTACTATTATAACGCGAACCGAGGCCGCGTCAATTTCTCGCACTCGGGGGGCATAGCAGATGTGAAAAGTCAATGGAAATAGAAGAAATATCAGTTTATGTTTTGACAGCACTCATCCTCACAGCTCAGGTCCTTCCGTTTACAATCCACTTGATGACTACGCACATAAGCAGCAGCACGGCACCTGCTTGTCTGGTAGTTAGTTACTTTTCCTTCCGTGCGAGCTCCTTGGCAGCCCACAATCCAAACAAGGCACGAAGCAGAAGCACCAACACACAAACACCACATCACTCTGGAGCAGAAACTAAACAATGCGCAGGCAGAAAAAAGACTGCTGAATCCGATACACGATCACACTTCTTGTTCTGGTCCCTCTGCATTAACAAATGCCTCGTGTTGCACGATTGCGTAAACGCGGTTGGTGGCCTTGGCTTGGCTTGTGTTGACTTGACTTGGCCTGGCTTGGCTTGGCTCGAATTGGCCAGTGCCCGCATGACGCGCGCGCCGAGTTTCTGCGTTGTGCGCGCGTTGTACAAACACAAAAGCGATAAAAATGCTTTTTTATGTTTTCTATTCGCCTTTTCACGTGGCCCAATAGCTAATAAATTCCCTTCCACACCCCCACTGCTTTTCCCACCGGATATTTTGCATTGAGCCGGAGGCATGGCTTTCTTTAGACTCGCGCTCCTCGTGGTTGAACTCGATTCCGAATATAACGCAAGGTGCGTTTTGGAGCTCGTAATTTCGGAAAAAAACTCGTTATATTCGTGCAAATACGGTAGTCTGAAAGGTCTTGTCCTAAAACTTCCGTGCCATTTTGAAAATGTTATTGATTTTAGCTCAGCTGCGTTGTCATCATATGTATTGTGCGAGGTATTTTGTAAACTATATTTCACAATATATATGACGACGAGGTGCCCATTTCATGATTTTATGCACTGTAATTAATCCCTTTGTTCAAGAGCACAACTACGAGTCAACTTTTCATGCTGTGACGCAAAGGTGTTCCAATCACTGGTATTTCAGGTGACCCACCACACTTTGTGATAACCTGTTGATGCAGGTAAATTACATGTGAGTGAGGTAAACAAATCAATGTTGAGTCGTATAAACACATAGTGTATAAACATGTTTTGTATGTTATTCTAAATTACCTTTTACGGTTCTGTCAAAATAAATAACCAAGTTTCATATTTTTGTTACCAGAAAATAAAAGTGGATTGTTGGAGTAATAAAAAACTATATAGTTAATCGTTTCACGGAAGAAAGGGTGCCTATTTGAAAACTATGCGGAAAATGTAACTTCAATTTAATGGTTCTAATCGGTTTGAACCGGTTTGAACCATAATTTTTTCTCCCTGGAACTGAACTGGAACTGAACCAAATGCCGTCAAACCGAACTCGAACTGAACCAAGAAAATTTCGGTTCGACACTGGTTAAAATTAAACGTAACGAAACCAAATAAGTGGGATATTTAAAGAAAAATGTAACATTATTCAAACTACCCGTTGAACTATTGGTAGGAGTTTGTGCTTCTGTTGCCCTTGCGCTCGTTCGGTGGGGGCATTCCTTCGAGTGGAGGAACGCAGAGTTCCCATGCTGGTGATTTATAAAAATAAGAGATTGGGACTACATAGCCGTGACTTCCCAGTATGAAGTGCTCTATCCTCTGACGCAGGGTGGTAGGATCGTGTGCGAGTTCTTTTTCTTTCCCCGCAGGTGATTGCGGAGCTGGAGTCGTTCGACAGCGGGAAGCAGGCCAGGGTCTGGCCACCCTGGTACAGGCGCCGCAGGAGGTCCCTCTGGTGGCCTGGCTCCACAACAGCCCATGACTTGTTCAAGGTGATGCTTCCCCTCAGCACCCAAACTGTCCGTAGTACTGTGGTTCGTGTTTTTGACTGGTGTGTTTGCTGCATCCTCAAAAGCTGTCTCTCGATTTTTTAAGCTTTATTTATTAATACTGCATACTTGTGAGAGCCCAAGCGGGAGTATACATCGAAAAGACGCCGAAAAAATGCCCATTAGGAACAGCAATATGAGGCACCACAAAACAGTACATCGCCCGTGAAGAGATAGTTTGTGTTAGTTACGGAACATTTCACGAGGGCACAACTCTCAAATTTACTATGAATGTTTCGACTCCCGTACTATAAACGAGTCATTTTTGGCAACTTATTGCATGCAGTTATCGTCCCGAGAAAAAAAGAAAAATTTAAATGTATTGTTTTATGCGCAAAGCTCTACAATAATTTTTTCGTCGTTAAGACGGTTGCCATGACGACGTCCAGGAGTGTCACACCGTCATCTGCCGCGTCCCTGGCGGTGGCACGGCAGCGCAGGTGGATCTGTCTGACCCGCCTGTTCCGAGGCGGGTCAGACAGTGGGCGGAAATCAAAACAGACGCGAAGTGGAATGCCGCGACGATCACTCTTGCCTCCACTTGCCTTTTTCGCCAGCATTTCTACGACTGACCATCACGACTGCGATGTCCGGCAGCGTGGCACGTCGGATTTTGCGATGCAGTTAGTTGCCACTTTGGGACTGCTTTCGATATATGGGAGGGATAGGAATGCACCAGTCAAAGACTTGTTCCAGGTACTGTACTCAGTGTTAAGAAGAGACATGGCCTAGAAAAATTAATTTTTGTGAAAAAACACTGATATTGAAAGAATTGTGTTTGGGTCCACCGACATATAAAGAATATTTCCAGAAAGTTTCGTTCGTATCTGATGCAGGGTTAACTGGCAATCAATTATTTTCAGTGCCTCGGAGATCTGGAAACTTTGAATGCGGTTTTCACCGTTTCACGTCTTCAGTATAACTTTCATTTTGGACAATCTATCTTTTCATAGCAGGGCTAAAAAGAAAAAGGATAATTTTTTATTTTTCTTGAAATTTAATAAAGAGTGCACCCATGCAATTTCTTTTTTACATTCTGAATGTCTGTTATAAAAATATGTTGACATTTGTTTGGAGACACGGAAGCCCCCCAAAAAAGTTGCTTGATTTCGCAAAACAATGGTTTTAGAGAAATGAATTACTTGACGAAGATGTGTCCACAAGTGCACCCTTTAACCTAGCGGTTACAAAGGTGACCCTTCTGAGTAGTGTCTGCCCTTAACAATAGCAATACGAACCAGCTGAAATGATGTGTGCTTGCTTATAATGTCCAGGGATGTTATTCCTAATGGCACTTGAATTCTCTGCACTCAGGATTCCGGCATGGTCGTGCTCACCAATGGCCTCGTGTACGAGTCGGATGATGGCCGTGAGTGATCGACTCCGCTTCCAATGAATCCTTTCATTTTCTCCTCTTTTGTAGTACCGAAGTTTTAAAAAAATGCTCGAGGAAGAATAGCGTAATTAAGCGAGCAACAAACATTCAACTTGAGGTGCACCAAACAAATGGTAGCAGTCTAGCAAAAAAAATCGATGAGCTGCAATTGTTTATTAGAAAATACGGAAAGTAATGCAACTTTGCTGATAAGATTAGGGTTAGTGGAGTGTACTGTGTAAGTGAAAGAGAGGTGTAAACTTCTTTGTGGTAATGTCACAAAGTATCTCATTAAAGGGCGACTTCGGTCAATATATTTGAAATTGGGATTACGACCGTTTTTATCTCAGTCAGTCTCTGAATTGCAGGGTATAATTTTTTTTATGGGAAAACCAAAACTGTCTGCTAGAGAGGGATGGCAGCACTTATTATCAGCCATACGGCCGCGACGTGACGTCACGGTAGTGCTGCGGTACGCGTCGCCCTGTGTTGCTCGACGAAGAACTAACCCGCTTGCCACCTGCTAAAGCGCAGCTGGTAGCAAAATCGGTTTTAGTGAAGTACGCGGCTTCACTTCGACGTAATATTTTGGCTGTGATAATATTTCGCGTCACTAAAGCGTTGCCTGTCATTTGTTTTGGTTTCGTTTTCAACCAAAGTAAGGTATTTGTGAAGCCATGCATGCAGTGCAGGTAATTGGAAATAACTTGTTAACAATTGGAATATCGGAAATGAAGAAGCTTGAGGATGTGGGCAGTGGTATGATGTCTGTTTTAGAAACATGAAGGATGGGAAGTTTTGTGATGCTCTCTGTTGTAACCATCCAGCATTCTTCTTCTTGGAATAATTAGGAGTTTGGATAATGGATACTTTATGGCAAGTTTGTTAGTATGTATGTTTATACCTTGCTAATTGAACACATTTCACTTAAATGTGCTCATTAAACTCCATTGGTCTGTTTTTTTTTGTTTTTTTTTTCAAATTAAAAGTAATTCATGCACATTAACTTCTGATTTTGTTTTTCGGCGAGTAATTTCTGCAGTGATAAACAGAGGGAAACCTTTTTTGTCAAACAAACTTACTCTTGCGGGTTGTCAGTATAGATTCAAAAATATATAAAAGGATGAATTGGTTGGAGTTGCAATTTTAAAGGGGCATTAAAGTGTTTTTTGTGTTTGCCTTTTTATGGCACAAACTTAACCTTTGCACCATAAGCATCCTAGAAAACACAAAAATTACAATGCTGCATGTTCTCTTTTTTCATTAAAAATGCTTAGCAACACATCCCTTTTCCCTGATACTATATCTAAAAAATGGGGGCATAACGCAACGTTTGCTGCGTTTGAATAGAAACATTATAACTTTTTGTTTTTTAGAATTCTTAGGGAGCATAGGGTTTTGGTCATAAAAAGATGACCTCAAAATCTACCTTGGCAGCCTTTAAGGGATGTACAACAAATCCCAGACTGAATATGCAGTCTTATGCCGGCGGCATTAGCGAGTCCGGTAGATTGCACCGACCCGTCAAACACCGTCTTTATATTTTTTAATGTATAATCTCGACTGTTACCAAATGAACGATATGAGACGATCGTGACCTGAAAGTCGTCAACATGTGCCTTCTCTCCTTGGCCGTGCAAAGTCCACTATCGATCGAGCTTCGGCAGCGACTTTGATCTGGACGAGCCGTCTCCCGCGCCGGCTGCCAAGGCGTCGTCGTCGTCGGAGACGCCGAGACTGCGTAGCCGTTTTCCCGAGACTTGGCTGTGGAATAACTCACTGACCGGGTAGGCTCCGTTAATCCCTGCCACGCTGACGCCGGGCTAATCCCCGTTCATTCCTGGAACGCATCTCCGACCTGGCAGGTTTGAGGGTTTAAAGGCTGGTTCAGACATGTACAACGAGCGCGATGCGTCCGTTGCAACCGAAGCGACCGGAACGACCGCTCTGCGCCGCGCGTACACACGCCTGCAACCACTGCAACAAGCGCAGCGGGTCGGCAGCACGGCGACCGCTTCTACGCCGCCGTCAGCTGTTTCAGCGGTGCCCCTAAAAAGGGGACGCACTGCCGAATATAGACAGACAGATTTCTATAGCCTAAAGCTTTATTAATATTTTTTTTTTTCATGATAGGCTTGCAGGGTAGAATGGATGGAAAAAAAAAAAAAAAAAAAGAAAAGAAAAATTTGCAGTACGCCGTCTTGGACGATCACGACTCTAATACACGACTTTGCCAATAGCACAAATCTCGCCACACGCCTTTTCTACGATTATAAAAGAACAATGTAATCTTATGAGCGATATAGCAACGTAGAAATACGATTTCGTGATCAGGTAGACGTTGCGAGCGTTCAGGATAGCTAACACTAGTCACTTTTCTCCGGTGATGAAAACGCGTGAAAATTCGCATCCTTTATACGGTACGCGTCAGTAATACCTTGAACTTGAACACACGCATGAAATACGCCAAATCAGAAATCCGGGCGATGTTCGAAGACACAAATGCTTAGAAAGCGCCACTGTAGTCGAAGTAAACAAACACGACGGCACGGGCGTTTCTGCTGTCTTGAGAGTAGAACCACGACATCGCCGCACGAGTAGGTGGATCTTCCCTTCTAATACGTGCTGGGTTATCATAGCGACACACGACGAAAATTCACAGTCAAGGCTAGCGCTTTTACGCGGAACGATGAACTTTCACCCCGCCGTCGACGATCACCACCGACGCCATGTTTGCAGACAGAAGGAGCCGGCCCGCGACCGGCATGCAACGCGCGCGACCCATTCTCCTTGGCCTGTGATTGGTCTGTCGTTGCGGTCGCTTCGGTCGTTTCCAAAGCATCGGGGAAAGTTGGGCTCGCTCCAACTCCTTGCGTCGTGAACGACACGTGCGTGCGTCCCTCCGTCGCTATGGCAACTGACGGTTGCAGACCCTTGCAACGGTCGTTTCGGTTGTTCCGGTCGTTCCGGTCGCTACGGATGCATGTGTGTGAACGGGCCTTAAGTCGAACGCTCTGTACTCCGTTCCCCCTAAAACGGATAGTACGGCGGAAGCTACGACTTGGCGGACCAATCGGCTGCCTCTATTTCGTCACCTGACCCTGCTGTCTGTGTGTGGGTACGGGCGGTAGTGTGATCGTGTGGTGAAAGATTGACGCACGGCTGGCCCAGCGAGCTCGTAGCTTGCACCGCACTGCTGGCTTAGGGGTGAACGAAAATAAGTAGTGCACCAGAGGCTTTGAAAAGTGCGACCATTGGCACTGCATTCTGGCAGGGCGCTCCATGGTGGCACTGTGCAGAGGAAGTCGAGCAAACTAAATGAAAAGGCGAAGACTGCGGTGGTCGGAGATGCATGCCGGTCATTGTACTTTCGCCGAGCTGCACACTAGTTGGCCTTTTCCTCAGGGTTTGGTAGGTAGCCACATCCTGAAAAAGAATTTATAGATTTTTATTGCTTTGTTTTTGTCTCAAACTCGCTTGATTAGGTAATACTATCTCATGAACCGTCTCATGAAAGCTAATTTGGTTCAGCCATCAGCCGACTCTGCAGAGTCGGATAATCATTGAACCAAATGACCGATATGTCTACCAACTGCACATTATATGGATTAATTCTGCAGTTAAGAAGAAAATGAGCAAATAATTTAAGTTATATAATTCGGTTATATAATTAATTATATTACCCTTACCAGCACACTCTCCATTCCAAGCATAATTTCGATTAATACGTAAAATCTGCGAATTGCAAGAGCACGAAAGAGGGCTTGCGTTGCTGGCAGCTTCTTGGAGACCCTGGGGAAAAGGTCGTAGGCTCACTGTAGAGAAAGTGAGCGGTAATGCCACGCTTTCTGAACTGCCCATTGTGCTAAGCTTGCTGCTTCCGCTGCCCACCTGTAGTGCACACGTTGGCCAGACGGATTCGAAAACGTTTGCTCGTCTGGCTGACAAAGGATGGGCGGTCATTTTGAGCAAAAGTTCGGAGCTCGGTGAATGTTTCAGATAAAAAGCGTAGCCAGTTGGGGGGAGGAGGGGGCTTATGGGGCTTCAGCTTCCCCCTGAAATCCAGCAAACATACACATACATTTTGACCCCCCTCCCCCTCTCCGCACCCTAAGTCATGGACATCCCAATCACCTTAACCCCCCCCCCCCCCCCCCAAAAAAAAACAAAACAAAACAAAAAATTCTTGGCTATGCTACTGTTTTAGATGGAAGCAAAAATTCGCTCCACTGCAGACCCTTCGCAACGACAACAAAAGGACCTGCTCAGTGAGACGCGCAAATTGCATAGCAGTAAGCTATCAGACCCGTCGTGGACTTGTTCAAGATGGCCGCTTTCCAGTGAAACGTGATGCTCTCCATACTCGCCGACAAGATGAGAATGTCTGGGATGTTTTTGAGTTGTCCCACCTCTAGCACGAGCTTTCTGCCTTCGATAAAACACTTGGGCGCCTGGGGAGCTTGGAGCTCTTGTTCAAAGCATACAGAAGCCAGCAAGCGTGTAGCTGGAGGCGCTGGAAAGAAATGCTCTGTGGTTCTCATTTTCTTGGTGACTTTTGGAGGTGTCCTGATGCTTCCTGGAGTCCTGTTCGGTTGCACTGGTGACTCATTAGAGTGTAACTGTGCTCTGCTTGCAGAGTATTTGCATTGAGTAACTTCAGTTGGTGTCACATTTTAGCCACATGGAGTAACTTGAATTGTTGTTTCTGTAGTGAACAGGGAAAGTTGGCTCGAAGGCCTGCAAGTTATATTACACCGAAGGCCAGGCTGCTTATTGCTAAATTCTAAGGCTCCTACTGGGCCTGCTTTCCCCATTGGCACCATCTCACTTCTCCATTATTTATTTTTTTTTAATACCAACCTTGCTGCAGGTGTTCGACTTCTGATTGATTAGCAAGATTAGGCTTTTAACTCAGCCAGCGACTCTATTGCACCATTGATGGCAGTGGCGGATGCAAGGGGGGGGGCGACGGGGGCGGCCACCCCCCCCCAAACAAAGTCGACCCCCCTCCCTCCCCCCTTCTCGGAGGGCAATTTGACATGGGTGGACCCCCCTTGCACAAGAAAGAATGGGAGAATAGTATCCTTAAAAATTTTTCGCCCCCGAGTTCTGTATCCGCCCCTGATTGATGGTGGTCATTGATAAACTATTTAATATTTTAGGTTCTCCTAATCAAACTTGGAAGTCTGAAGTCTATTTGAGCGCTCTAAATTCGACGTCTGGAGTTACCACTTCGAAATGACTGCTTTAGACTTGACGAGGAATGGAGTTTGTGCCACTTACACCGTAACTGTTCCTATATTGTTTCTGAAAATAAATGTAACCCTTTAAGTAATGCAACGCGATTGTACTTAGCACTTGCGTGTGCAGCGGAGCCCATGGATTTTGTCTGCCGTATAAATGTGTTCAACAAGTACCGTGCCGCCGCATGTTCTAAAGCTCATTGGCTCGTGTCAGCAGGGCACACGGCTCTGCCTTACTGTGAATGCCTCACAATGATATAGTGCGAAGAATTGGACCATTTTTGTCCATACGTGGCCATGTCCCCTTTTTTGAGGCCCTGTCTGCTCCAGGGATGGCACTGTAGCTGCTGCTGCCCCGCTTGCTACGCTAGCTTACTCTTCTGCCTCTGGTGACTCGCTGCTTTGCTCACTCTACTTCTCTTTCCCCTTCTGTGCTTCCACAGCCAGTCACGACTCAAACGGAACCCAGCTCGAAACAGCTGTCGTCCATTGGTAGGCGCTCCTCCGTTATGCCAGGAGGATCTCGAATCTCTAAAGGCTGGTTCACACACTTGCGTTTGCTTACAACAGAGTTTTCGGGATCGCTTACGTTGGTGCCGTCTGTGATTAGGCCCTGGAACTTAATTTGATCAGAGCGAAAGTTTAGAATAACATGGACAACGCCGTGTCCGTGTCCTACTTCTCGTCCCTCGTCTGTTCCACTGTTTTAACCTAAGAAATGGTTGTTTATAACATTGTCAAACGTTTTTCGAGCCAATAAAGGGAGAATGATGCGCGAAAGAAAAAGGGAAGTGTACGGGAATCGCGGGTATTTCGCGGCTACCCATAGATGGCGGCAGTGTGCTCTCTCATTGTAAGAAATCGCGAGTGTTTTTAATGCTCTCTGTCGTAAGCAGTCACAAGTGTGTGAGCCAACCTTAAGAATGCCTATCTCGATGTCAAGGGACCCTTCCAGGTCTAGGCACTTTATGCAATAAAAAAAAAAGAGTGCAGAAGCCAAAAGACCTTGTAAACAGTAATGCAGATAGTAGCGAGTGTTTGGCTCACAGTTATGCATCAATAGATGGCCCAGATCCGGTATAATAATGCTCAAGCTAAACAGCACTTCACTTTGAGAGGGGAACAGCCGAGGAATTTCGAGAATGCGTGGGGAATAAGTCTGGCCTACCTTAGATTCCGCCCACTTTGTTGAAGGAACCCAGAGGGGTTTGAACAAGCAGCAGTGGAATCCTAGAGGGGTCTAGGAGTGCAACCCAGGTAGTAGTATTTTGGGATGAGTAGAGGGAGCACCCTGTACCGAAGACTCGTGCTCATGAACAGAAAGAAGCTGCCAGTATTTCCAGCTGGCAGGCTTCACTTTTTAAACCATTCAATTCAAATATACAGTTTCTTTACATTTTTTTTTCCTTGGGAGTATTAGTTGAGAGGGGCACTACCAGACTGCTATGCGTTTTGCAAAATCTTGTCCATTTTCAAATTGCAACAGTTTCAAATAGCAGGTTGGTTAAATTGCCGCCAGTTTCCGGGACTGACCTCACACCCCCAAAATTTTTTATTTTTCAGTTCAATTTTGCTTGTTTTTCTTCATACAAGAAGAAAGAGAAGAGGGAGGAAAAAAGTACAAGAACTGCTTGACAGAGTTTCCTTCTCTCCCAACAGCGAAAACAGCACAATATTATTACTCACAAAAAAAATAAAAAATAAATGAACCGCCAGAAAAAAAAAAAAAAAAAAAAAAAAAAACTAATATGTTTTGTACACGAAGTAAAAATATGGTTATATTTACCTCAAAAAGATTTGCAACGAGCATATATTTTTCCAAGAAACACTTTCAGTATCAAGTTTCGTTTCCTTTTGTGCACCACGCTGAAGGTGTCATGCTGTTTGTGGGCACTATCAAATAAATAAATAAATAAATAAATAAATAAAGTTTTAGTGACCAAATAAAATTTAGTATGCGGCAAACGCGCAGCTGGACTTTAACCCTGCCTCAAGCCTTTTTTTAGTGTGGTGGGCACATTCAGGTGGGAAGATATGGTTTAGTGAACTATATCTATTTACTATATTGAATTGAGATATTTGTTTCCTTTGCTTTTTAGTTCTCTCAAAGCCTTGTTTGAAGCTTTGAGAAATTTGAGAAAAACCTTTGACTGTCCTCTTGTTTGGGGGGTCAGCTCGTCCTTTTCACTGACTTGGGTTTTCTGACACCTTCATTTTTTGGTGCATAAATGGCTTATCCAGTGGACCATAAAGATGAAATGACAGGCAGTTAGTCTTTTAAGCTGCTCTATTTACTGTAGGAATGCTATTATGCTGGCACATAATGGCAGCCTATTAGGATCTTTCTGAATATAGTATCAGAATTAATTTGAGTTTTCTACAGTGATTATGACACATTTATACCTTTGTTGACTTAAAGATACCTGGAACTGCTTTCCTTGCATTCTGGTGCGTGTACCGTCGTAGAAAGATACACCTATCGAGCACCCTTTTTGAGCATTGCACAGTAGATTGAGGATGAATTGCCAACTCTTCGTGGGGTCAAGTTATCGATGAGCATAATTTTTTATTCTTTAACATCGAAATGACTGTACAAATTCAGTCAGTTATGTCCTCTCTAGTGTATAGAAAATTGAACTTTTGTTTGTCCACTTTATTAATCAATTTAGGATTTAAAACAACCGGAAGGACATATTATTTTGTTTGTTCCTCATTAAAGAGAAGTTCAGGTCTGGGTATTTGTTTGCGATTTAATTGTAGATTTATTCATGGTGTTTAGAGACTCTCTCAGGTTCCATAGACAAAAAGAGAAACTTCATGATGTGCACTCACAATGAAAAGCTTACTCATGGACTGTGACCTGAGGACAACCAAATTCAAGTTAACTAGAATGTACACATCAAAGATCACCGGAATGTAAAAATCGTCAAATACTATTGGTCAACAGAATCTCTTGATGAGCAGTTTGTTCTGAAAAGTAGGCCACTTAGAGATAAATGTGAAGGCAAAACACTAACACAACATTTTGATAAAAAAAAAAAAAAAATATTTGGAACATTTATGTTTTACATGTGGGATCTTCTCTTCAGGGCTTAAACTTGAGCATTAAAAAGGTTTCCGTTTCCTTGACCACAAATATCAGTGCTCGTACGTTTGCTGTAAAAAGTGCAAGCAATTGGCCATCTATGCCTCACTTTTGTTATAGGGCTCATTTTTTAGGAATTAATGATTGCTACTTCGCAAACTTTTCTAAAGAAACGTCCTAGAAATGTAATATACGTAATAAACGAAAGATTTTGGTGTTGGTGGTCCGTAAACAAACAGGACAGAAGATGTCACAAGCACCTCTTCTTGAAAGAGGTGCTCATGCTGTCCTCTCTCTAGCTTATTCACTTTTTCTAGATTCAGTAATGGATGCGTAGCCGGAGTAATTTACCGAAGCAACGCCGAGAGTTCTGTAGTTGCCCTGGGAAGCCGTGGCCACGGTCGGGTGACAGGTGCTGCCCTCTCTCTTCCTTTCCTTTCCCTCCCTCTCTCTCCTGGTGGCGCTCCCCAGTGTTTGCGAGGAAGCAGGTGATTCGTCTCGACACGGATGTCTTGACCAACCCCGTGCTCCCACCAAGCGACCTCCCCGAGGCCCCGCCTCCGGTGCCGGGTCGCATTAGGCTTCGCCAGCAGTACCCCGAAACCTGGCTTTGGAGCAATGTCACGGCAAGGTACACAGCAGCGCTTGTGGTGGGGGGGTGCCGCGCTCTCCCAGTGCAGTGCCTCCTCCGAGCGCTTTGCAGGGGCACGGGGCTGCCCAGAGTCGCCTGAAAGCCACGCTTGGAGGGCCGCTACTCTATTTCCTCGTTGCACGTTATCGCCATGATGGTTGTTTGTTCATTTATGTTGCACAGAGATTGCACATATGCTGGCAGCTGGTGGGTGGTGTGCACCTTTTACGTTGCTCGGAGCCTAGTCGGGCACCACCGTAGCTTTTTTGAGTTCTCGATTTTTTTCCTGTCGCGATCTGATTTAGAAAATGGGAGGATAGAAAAAGCTTCCTGCGTATCTTATTGGGCACACCTACAAAAGCTGGTGCCAACTGGCAGCACCAATTTTTCCAATTCGGCACTATGGGTCTTGTGAAAACTTGAGTATCTCGATTCTTCGAAGAAAAGCTCTAGTGGTTCTGTAGCGTTATGAAGTGCACATTATAAAGGCCATTACAAACTGAACAAACGAAGAGGTTGCAATAATGAGCCGGTGCTAGTGCCATATGGTTGAGCGTTTCGAGTCTGTCCCCACATTGTGTTAGCAATCAATATACTGTGGGTAGCTGAGCAGGCTGATTTCATTGGCAACAGCACTTCCATCAGCTAAGCAGACCAACTCTGCCGAAAATCGTGTGGAAACAGAAGGGGCTGTAAGGGTTGAAAACATGTTTAGAGACATCTCTGCGTGACGGTGGTGCCGTCAATGATGATGGTATCGAAGGTAATCTTTTGTAGCTTTTTTGAGCAATGGCTGTATGAGAAGGAAAGCTCCATCTCGGAATACTTGCAGCGGCCCTTCTAACGAAGGTGGTTACGTGACGAGCTGCAATGATTTGAGATAAAGGTGACGTCTATTTGATGAATCGAGATCAATTTTGGAGCCTTCCAACAACGGACAGTGCCGCGAATGGCTTGACTCTCAAGGGCAGTGTTGCACAGATGTGGCACTCCCATTGGTGGGCTCCAGGCAAGGGAGGGAGAAAGTCGGTTCACAGTGTGATTGGGCATTCAGCCCAGTTCTTCCGCTGACTAACTTGAACTAACGGGACGGTCTTTCAGCCATGACGGCCGGGTGGTCATTTCGAGCACCGTGCCAGACACCATCACGTCCTGGGTGATCAGCGCCTTCGCGCTCGACTCGCTCACGGGACTCGGCATTGCACCATCGCAGGCCAAGGTGGGTGTCCCAAGATGGCGTCGCTCTGCCGCCAAATACGTCTGGATCAAAGTTCTTAGATCTATCAATTGACAAGCTGTGTAAAAGAGCATCGTTTGGAAGTTGTCTTTCTCTGTTGTCCGCTTGTGAGCGGGTACGGGCGGATAGTAATTCTACCGCCACCAGCCGCACCGCTTCCACGGGCAACGGGGAAGGACCATTTTTGAACGACACGCTTGTTGCGCACACTGTTGCGCAAACTTTATAATCACCATAAAACCCCAAAAGAAGCACTTTCCACCGCAGGCGATGTACATCTAAAGATCGACTGGTTTTATCACTTCTGTGTATAAGGCGGGCTAATAGTGTAGCGTGCGCCATCAAACGGACATGGCATGAAAAGGTCCCAGGCATTCTAGGAAGTTTGTCTACTGACTTTGATCTAGTAACCTTGGTCTGGATGCCAGCGGGCAGGCAGAATCTCCAGCTCGATACTTTACATGTCGATACAATCATATTGGCTGTTGTTAGCTTAATTGAGCAAATAAATGTAGTTAATTGAAAAATGAGTTGATTAATTAATAGATTAAATAGTATAGTAATTATTTTTTCAATAGAAAATTTAGGACTTGCATCGGTCCTTGACAACCCTTGAATTTGAAAACTTCAATTTCCAGACCTCAAAAGTCCTGGAATGTTTAACGGTGATTGAAACCCCTCAAATTTTGCAATGATTGTCAGTGTTTTTTTTTCTTCTTTTTTTGTAATCGTGACTTTTTTTTACAATAATAAAATATAATTAGTATTTTTACGTGCATGTTAACATAAATGTTATAATTCCGACTTTAGATACATTTAGCGGGGACTCCGTTTAAGCGCCTGGCCAGAATGGTCGCTGATCTGACAGCTTCAGCCGATCACTTTGCTGGGAAAGCTGAGGCAAGAGGTGACATCACCTGCATTGTCAAGTCGAACGGCTTAAAGGGCTACTCCACCGATTTTTTCATTGTCTCTGATTTGCTTGAAATTTTGCTGAACTAACCAACAAACATCGCGAAAATAGTATCCCAAATATTAGGTCAAAATATTGTTTTTTCGCGAAGTTATTGAATTTACAGTTTTGGCCCTCACCGTGTTTTTCAAGCTCGAAGTCTCTACTGGCAACAATGAAAAAGTGACGTCAGTGGAAGGCAGGGGTTCACTCTTAGGGCTGTAGATTTCGTTTTAAACTGATTCGAAGCAGTTTCATGGTGTCAAATGAATGCTTGGGAAGCTCGCTGCAGTACCTGCGCTCCAGCACGGAACTAATGATTGGCATATTCTATTTTTTGGCTGCTTGCTCGACTGGCAAGCCTGCCTGCCACTGACGTCACGGCCCTGAAAAGCGCGCATATATTTGAATGTTGGTTTTTGCATCATTTTCATTTGCCGATTTCGCAATAACTATTATGAATTTCGCGATTCTAAATAGCATACCGGAGAGAGTAAAGGCCGGGGAGTCAGAAAATATAGTTAGTTGAGGTAGCTCAAAAAATCGGTGGAGTACCCCTTTAAGGAAAACGGCGAAAACCAAGATACAAGAACTTCGAAATATCAATCAGGAAATCGAGGAAGAGCTGCAGTAGCTCTACTGAACCCTTTACTGGCACCTTTTTGGCAAATGCTCTTTTTCCTACCGTAAAATACTGGGCTAGCGCCCACTCAAAATTTTGAGGTAGTAATGAAAAAATGGGGGATGGGCGCATGTCCGGTCATCAATTCTACATATAAATGTACTGTGCATATTTTCTCAGATCTTACAAATTTGGGTATGGGCTCTTAATGTGGTATGGGTGGATGCACGGTATTCTACGGTAGGTATTATGCAATAAAGAATTTTCACAGTGCATTAAAAAAAAGTTGTATATTATAAATTTACTAGACAGGGTATTGGAAAAGGTCCTTGAAAATATCTTTACACACCCCTAAAAGTCCTTGAAACCACTTGAATTTTTTCTTCGAAGCCTGTACGAACCCTGAAATTGTACTGCTGCACTGATTGGCAGATTTTTCTAGGCTGCTTTTTGTAGGTTTATGTTGTTCTTTTGCTTTTTTTAGCATAGTCTACCACTCCTGCTAGGGCTTTTGGTGGAGGGTCAGAGAAGTTGTTTACTTAATTACATTGCCAGCGGCATATTGGCTGGCAGGGCAAAGGAGGACGCTGCTTCATGCTTTGCGAAGCATAAAGTGTACCAAGCGGTCCGCTTGAGAACCCTACACTTCATAAAGTGCTGTAAAATTTCTGTAAAGGGATCCGGGAGATCGGTGCTGGCACACAGAAAGCTCAAACTTTCACCGAGTGTGCACCGAGTAGGTCAGTTCCCGTGTGAAATTTCACACGGTGTTTTCACACGGTGTTTTCACACGGTGTTTCACCGTGTGAAATTTCGAGGTGCAGTTCTCTTCCAATAAAGAATGAGCAAAAATACTTGCCGCGTTAGATGCGTTTGCAGACGACTGAATTACCGACGCTTTTAACTTGTGGCGCCGTCTCCCGATAGGCGCAGCGATCGGATAACAAAGTGATTGTCTGCTCGCTGCGCCTATCGGGAGATGGTGCCACAAGTTAACAACGTCGGTAACTCGGCCGTCTGCAAACGCATCTAATGTGGGCTTTGGAAAGTTTTTTTCTTTTATTTCTCACAGGAAGAGCACTACACCTTGAAATTTCACATGGTAAGACTGACATCCTTAGTGCACATTCGGTAAAAGCAAGAACTTTCTATGTATAGGCGCCAATTTTTCTGGCTTGTTTCACAGTCTCTATATAAGAAAAGAAGCATCCATATAAGAAAAGAAGAAAAAATGATGATAATGCATCATAAAAAACCAGCGGCACTTAATGTTGCATGCCCACTAATATGAGGGGCAGAATCTCCTTTCTGAGATGTCCCACTTTTATACTTGACTCGTTGCTACAATCATATTGCCTGTTCCTTGCTTATTTATCTCTTTAACAGTATTGCCAGCCACCTACGAGTCGCAGGGCAAAGATGGAAACTTCTGAACAACTCAAGTGATCAGAATGAAATTTGCAGGGGAGATTTAACTTCAGATGTAGGTGTACTGTGCAAAGTTTTAGCTCTCTAGGACAACTTTACATAACTGCATAAGATCTGTCACTCTTCATTAAGAAATCTATGATATGCAAATGAAGCTATTAAGCATCATTTTAACAACTTGAATATAAAGTGGGGGATGTGGGACTTCGGGCTATCTAGTTGTTATATCTCAAGTATAAATATTTCAGAAAGAGTGATTCCCTCAAAATATGAGATGCATATCTGTCCTATGTCAGTTTTTGAAAACATAATTTTTTCTCAATGAGAACTTTAACTTAAAACAATATAAAGTAGATAGCCGGATTCCCCAGTAAATTTCAGTTTAAGAACATCTTGATTGTGGTATCAGAATAATTTTACCTTCGAACAAGATTCCTTCGTATGAAATTTGCAGCAAAAAGCAGAACTGAGGAAAATGCATTCAAACATTCAGCTCCTTTACTTTGTTACTGCTTCACAATGTGTTGAAAATATTTTATATCAACATAACTATTTGGCGCATGGTTATGAAATTTTGTGTAAGGGTGTATAATTAGTTTCTAAAACCAAAAACCTCAATACTGAAAAATGAATTTTTTTGAAACATTTTAAAACTTGGGCCTATGTCCCCCCTTAAGCATAGGAGGAAAGGAGACAGAAAAATATGGAATTATTGATAAGTAATGCACTGTCAAAAGACAACAACACTAAATGGTATGTGCCCACTATCATGGATGGCCTAGCATTAAAGAAAGGAAAAGCAAACATGCATCTATGGCATCAAATATTTAGTTAGTGTCATGACTAAAGGAGGAGTTAATGACTCATTGATGATGTTTAATGGCAGACAACTATGCTCATTAATGGTGCAAGGTAGATACAAGAGTTTGAGTCTTTCATTTTATGGCGCTATTAGTTTTGCCCTGTTTGTTGCCTCAGTGCATGTGCATGCGTGTCAACACTGCTGTTTGTAATGTGTGGCCTCCTGGGTTGACGGCTATCCTTCAGGTGACGGTCTTTCGACCGTTCTTTGTGACGGCCAGTCTGCCGTATTCTATCCTCCGGGGGGAGTCCGTCGCCATTCAGTGCGTCGTCTTCAACTACAACAACAAGCCTGTTCAGGTGAGCATGCGGGCTCCATATTTGCGCTGCACAAAGGCTGCTCATCTCCTCAATATGTATCGCCGCAGACAATATGAGCTGAAACATCCAATCCTGCATTTCCAGCCATTTGCTTTCCAGCCGTTCGCTTTTAAGACAAAAACAGGGAAAAACGTGATCATTTATTTATGCCAACAGTGTCACACAATGTACATCTTTACTGTCATTGTTGAAGGTTTTAAACCTTGTGTCTTGCTGAATTTGCTGAAGAAATGTGATCAAATAGTAAAAAAAAAAAAAAAAAAAAAAAGAACCTCGGAATTTTGGGAATTTTTAAAAAGCCTGTGGGTGTTGTGTGCAGGCGCGGGTGACGCTGGAGAATGCAAAATCCGAGTTTGTCTTCACGTCTCTGTCCAATGACGTCGGTGGCGAGCAGAGCAAGGACAGGCGCAGCAAGGATGTCACGGTGAGTTCCTCAGTCGATACAAATCAATAAATACCAATTGATCAATACAAAGTAATCAATACAAATAAATTAATCAATACAAAATCAACCAATTAATGTGAATCAACTAAACAATGCAAATCAATTAATCAAGCAATCAACACAACCTAAATAACCAAGTATTTAGTACAAATCAATTAACCAAACAGTATATACAAATTAATTAACCAAACAATCAGTATAAATCGGTGAAGCATTTAATCAGTACTAATCGATTAACCAGGCAATCAATTAACCAAACAACCACTCAATCAATAAACAAAATAAGCAATCAATGAACTAACTAAATAAGCAGACAATTAATTAACCAAGCAATCAAAGTCCCAGCCAATCTCCTGTGCTCAATGTGTTTCTCTGACTGCTGCAACAAATTCCTGTTCAACAACTATTTCTGTTTTAATGAAGCAATTTTGCGGCCCCATAAAGCAGAAATGACTGGTATTACAAACTTTTTAGGCTAAAATTAATTGAATTCAAGTATATTGTTGCTCACAAGTGACACACATAGAGAAGATAAATACTATGGTAGCGGTGACGATAAAAATTTCCGGATGCACCGCCTCCGCTGTGCCGCCTCCACCGCGTTGCCTCCACTGCCGCTGCACCACACATTCTCGGTTTCGGGTCCAAATAATTTGTTAGTGTGCAACCTTGTGTATAGATGGCGCTACAGGACTATGTTGCTACTTGGAAAGCCTGTACGCAGCAACATAGTCATGTAACGCCGTCTAAATGCAAGGTTCTTCGCTAGCATTATTTAAACCTAAAATCAAGAAAGCGGGGCGCGGCGCCACACCTCCGTTGCCCGTGCTCATGTGTACCATTTTCATCAGCAGTCGCAAATTTTTTTGCTGTCTTGGCATTCGTTTGACGGACGTGTAATCTTTGTCAGGATCCAACGTTTCCTGTCTTGCTCGATCCGAGTCCCAAATCATTCCGCCCTGGAGCTACCGTATTTACACGAATGTAGGTCGACCCTTTTTTCAATTTTTGAAAATCTGAAGTGGGGGGGTCGACTTATAATCAAACCAAGGCATTCCACCACCGGCAAAAATGAAACAATTGCGATATCATGGACACCCCGGCTTATTACGAGTTCAGCCGGCTCTACCTCTAGCATTGCACTGTTCTATGTGCTCATTTTACAAATGAATTATTTTTTTATTTGCGCGAACGAGTATTATTGATAGCAATTTGCAAATTAACCCGAATATACGGCGATGAACAGCGCATGGCGTGCCCGGCTCCCGGGGGGTGGCGGCACTTCTTGTAAGGGCCACTCCGGAGGTCGCTGGAACAGCCTCACGGCTCACTCACCCTCCACTGCTTCTCTTCGCAGTTTTTCGCACGATTCACGGTAGCACATAATTCGATCGAGTAACTAGAGCGCTAACTACGTTTTTTTTTTGGTATTGACACGCGTGATCCAGGCAGTTTAGGTTTTCAGTGCTCGTTTAAAAGCAAGTCTGCACTGTTGGACGCAAGCTCGACCCGTCGGAGCGGACGATGCTTCTGTGGAGTCTGCAGTGGCGCGGGTTCTTAAACTGTGACGGCAAACGAAGAGGCTTCCGTAGGCCAAAGTCTTGTTCCGGAGTTGGAAGTCGGGCTTGTAACGTACGCCGCAAAAGTGTGCAATCAGTCCCTACCCGTGACGTGCAACGCGATCGCCGAGCAAGCGCGGAAGACGCGGTTGATCCTGTCATTTGCGAAGTGCGAGATTTCATTGGACGACGGCAACGACGTGCTTTGAGAACGTAGCAGTGATGACGACGAGACTGACATCACCAGTGCGGACGAGTCGTAGTCTGGTCCCGGAAGGAGTGAGAACGACAGTGAGCAGCTTCAGTTGTCCCGCCTCCAGCGTGAACTTCCTAGTTTCGATAACACGTGGCCATATCATGCACCTCGTGCGTGCATGCGCAGCCAAAGCATGCCAGAAGGCATCGATCACGTGTTGGAGGCTTGGCTTTCGAAACAGATACTTTGCCGTTCTCCCGTGTCCGCAGTAAAATGTGCATCTGGAGATTTTTTTTTTTGCTGATGTGCAATGTGGGGGGGTCGACTTACAATCGAGTCGACTTACAATCGTGTAAATACGGTATATTAGACGGTCGAGGAAACGATCCGGGACTCTACCAGCGACGCCAAAATCTAAGCGAAACCAGTAGAGCCACAGAAAAGAAGCTCGGCCCCCCCTTTTTGTGCCAGACAGATGTGAAAAAGATATCAGTCGGCTTGGTTGTGTGCCCTTCCCCATCCTCGCTGTGCCGCACACTGCAGGTTAAGTAGCCTTATGGGTTCCTCCAGATTTCCTTGACAGTCCCTGTCCCTAAGTAAAGTATTTTTCCGGTTTAAGCATCGTTTTAACAGATCTTAGCTCCCCAGGTTCATGTGGGCCTCGTCGTTGCGTCAAAGCAGCTTTCACGGGAGCCGCGTTTCATCGAGGCAGTTTGCCGCGAAACTGCGCATCGAGTTCCGACGAGCGCCCGTTGAGGCGAAGAACGTGGTTGCTTGGGAGGGGGTCTCAGATTGGCTCTAGCTCCCCTGTTTGTCCTCAGGTACCGGCTCAGGACGGCGTCCCCGTGTCTTTCCTCATCACCCCCACCAAGCTCGGCTACATCGACATCCACGTGTCGGCCACGTCCTCCCTGGCTGGCGACTCCATCCTCAAGAAGCTGCTCGTCAAGGTGAGCCAATTCGCTGGCGCGTTGCCACTTGGCGCTTCCAAGCACCGGGGAAGGAGGGTACGGTGCATGGAACGCGTTTTCGACCGGCGGGTGTAGCATCCTACCCCGCCTGTGCACCAAGAGCGATCCTGGAGGGAAGTTCCTGCAAAAAGCGCGAGCAAGCGCAAGTGTTGTCGTCATCACAGCGTCCCAATTCCCGGCTGCCGGAGTTCGCTCACTGTGAAATCTTCTTTACATTATAAATTTTTACATTGTACTACAGTGGAATCTCGTTAATTTGAACCCGAGGGGGACCATAACTTTGTTTGAATAATGCCAGGCTCGAATTACCGAGAGTTTCCTTCCTACAAACAGGTAGGACGGGACCTGTGTGTTAGTTTGAATTATCCGCAAGTTAGAATTAAGAGGGTTTGAAATAACGAGATTCCACTGTATAAGCATTTTTGCAACTTCAAAAGCAAGAAAAAGAAAACAGAACTTTAATTTGCATAAGCCCTATCACATGCCAGGTTTTGGTGCAATTTGCGTCTCTGATGACATTGGCCTTAGTAATTATGGGTGCGGCATCCTGTGGGCTTCCTATGAGCTTTGCTCTTATTTGGTGAAGTGACATGCCCTTGATTCGGGACAAGTTTAAAAGATATCAATATGATCTGTGCAATTTTTTTATTAACTTTATCTAGAAACTGACAACACAATGAGCACATACCCCTCATTTTCGTAGCATTTGGAAAATACTCGTAGGACAAATCTTTACATATTGTTGACCTAAAGAGCGCCCAAGCCCCAGTTTTACGTGGTTATATCCAAAATTTTAGCAGGTGCTTGCTCGGGATTTTACACTATCGTAAAATACCGGGCAAGCGCCCACTCAAAATTTAGAGATAATCGCGAAAAAATGGGGGATGGGCGCTTGTCTGGTCATCAATTTTACATTTAAATGTACTGTGCATATTTTCTCAGATCTTAGAAATTTGGATATGGGCGCTTAATGTGAAATGGGCGGATGCGCGGTACGGTAAGTCTGCATTCTCTTTTCCCCAAATTTTCGGGTTATAAAAAAAGAATGCATATAACTTGCTTCATCTTTAAGTATGTATCTTCATTGTGCAAGATGTAGGTTGTACAAATGCTTACGGCCAAGAGAGAATGGCAGAGCACACGCTGATAGCCTACTCTTCTGGCGGTTCGAAGACAGTTTGAAGAATGGTAGTATACCAGGCTCGTGGCTGCAGCGACCCTGCTGGCCATGCAAAGGACTTGTACAATGGTACAACTTATACATGGGCTGCATGTGACGTCATTCAAAGATCGCTCCGATGACCACCAGAGAAGAGGGAAAAAAGGAGCTCCCCTCTTGTCAAAAATCTCTTTTGTGCCTCCCGGATTTGCACAGACGTCGCTATTCTCCTCCCAGAAGATTATAGAAGATTAAAGAATCACTCAAGACTCTTACAAAGCAGCTTCGCTCTCCTCCTTTTACATGGCGGTCAAAAGTATGCGATGTGACGTCAGTGCAACCCATGTAAGACTTGAAGATATGTGTTGCCCCAAAAGTTCAGTTTTTTTCGTTACAAAAATGAACAGTGCATCGCCGAATGCTCAGTCTCCACCCAAATGTAGCAGTAGCGGTTCGGACCAGATTCCAAAGTTTCACAACTAACTGTTATCTTAATCAAAAGCTATAAGTTATTCTTTTAAAGTTTGGAAAAATGGGGATTGCTCCCGGTGGCTGACGTCATTGCTCTCCATGTAATCGTGGGCTTGGTCGTCCACCATTTTCCCACAAAATTTCTGAAAATTGCTTATAACTTTTTAGTTGGATGATGGCAAGCTCTGAAACTCTGGCATCTGCTCTGGACCACCAGTGCTACATTAGGGCGTAGAGTAGGCATTCGGCGATGCATAGCTTAATTTTGCAGCAGAAAGAATGCGGTACATTTTTCTCGGGGACAACCCGTACAATGCAACAGTTTGTGCACATGCAATCCCATTATTAAAACCGCCAACGGCAGCTGTAATTATTGAGCGAAGCTGTCGTTCACTAGGGGCTTCTTTGAGGCTGGGCTTGCAGAATAGCCTGAATGTCCCCTTGAATGTCCCCCTGCAGCCCGAAGGCTCCAAGCAGCACTTCAACCGGGCTGTGCTGGTGGACCGGAGGAACCCTTCTGCTCCGCCCACCAGCACCAACATCTCCATCCCCATCCCCAAGAATGCGGTGCCTGGCTCGGAACGCATCAGCGTCTCGGCAGTCGGTGAGTGCAGCATTGCGTTGTGTCCAAGGATGCTCTAGAGTCTGGTCTCGACCTCTCGAAGATGATGCCTTTTCAACCGACGCTGAACTGTAGGTATGTCACAGATTGAACATTCCCTCCCCTCATAACTTTTACCTCAATGTTTACGTTAGGAGACACATTTCTGTGAAACCAAAATTAACCTTTTTTTTCAGTCTGGCATCTCGAAGTAAAACCGTTTAGTATTTGCCCCCGACTTGAGATGTGTCTCATGCCGTTAAAATCTAATGTGCTAAAGAGTGAGTGCGTTATGTGACACCACAGGTGTCTACATTTGCGTCTTGGCTGGATTTTCTCCCTCTTTTTCTGTTTTTGTTCATATACCATTATTAACGGAGGATCTGTGTATAGCATGTCATGGCTGTGCGCATTCTGTTTTTGCTAATAAATTAGGAAGGTCCTCAACTTTTGAAGACAATATCGAGATTAAAATATAACTTTTATTAAAAATTTCCTGAAGATGATGGGAATTTTATGTAATACTTGCTCAACACATAATTGGCTTATGGGGCTTTGTTACAATGTTGTTAACCTCATTGTTAGTATGTCATATTTGTTTACATTCATATAGCCAGTGCTCATTCTTATATTTGATGTATTTAATTTGCATCGCCATTTATTTGTCACATACATAAAGTCGTGTCTTGTTTGTACGGGCCCTGTTAATACATATACACCCCACTATATAGACAAAGTTTTCGGGAACAAACTGGGTAAATGCGCGCATTTTTGTCTCATTATTACAAACTACTCTCATTATGGACAATTTTTTGGGGTAAACAAAGGTGTCAATCTAAGGAGATACAGGACTGTATTTTCATCGTAGTGTGACAATTTCACTCATTCTGTTTATGGTTTTAGCTTTCAGCTTAATTTAGTTCTGCTGCCACGTGGATGAGCTCAAGAATAAACAATATTAATTGAAACTCAATGGTTAAATGCGGATTAAAATGGATTACAATTCGTCGTGACGACATGACGTGTGCGAGTCTTTTCGGCCAATGCTCTTCCTTTCCACCGATGGCGCTAGGTGTCCGTCATTGTGGAGCTCTCTCCGCCCTCCACAGATGGCGCTAGGTGTCCATTGATGTGAAGCTCTCTCCGCTAACAGGGGCCAGTGCGCTGTCGGGCTCGTTATCCCTTCGTGCCGACTCTTCCTCCGGACCCTATCAAAAAAGGAATTGCGACGCAATCACTGCTGTCGCCACGCTGATTGTCAAGGAGATGCGTTAGCATTTACCACGAGGGTTCCCACTCGAAAAAGGATGGGAATTCCAACCACGCAACGCTTCGGAGAGTTGTTCTGTTCTCCTGGATGTCGGCGATTTCGGATGCGGTCACCACAGCTCTCCTCAATTGCCACTTGCGGTCCATGTATTCTCATCTTCGAAGAGCCAATCTTCCCTCCCGGGCGTCGGCGGTTTCACGCAGACGGCGTCGTCGCCGCACCTCGGTTTTACGTTGTCGCTTACGTTGCACATGCTGGGGAAACGGAAGCGTGTGCCTTCGCCCCGGTGTCATCATAAGAGGAGCGCGCGTCAACGGCAGTGTGTCGTTGGAAGTATGTGAGGACTCTTTTCCCTTTTACGTAAAGGGGAAAAAATGCAAAAATGTTCCAAAAGCCGGGATTCATGATTAAAAACAAATACCTCCGACTTGCATAACAATATCAACATTTATCAGACGTTTCGTCTCCTATACGTAAAGGGGAAAGTGGACGTAATGAGCGGACGATGGAGCTAAGAGCACGGTGGAAACCGCCTTGCGGCCTCGCGAAACCGGTCCGAGAGTCCAAACCAAAGACGGCTGCATGCGCCAGGACGATGAATGCCGATGCATTTAAGAAAGCATTGCAATTTTGTCGGGTACTTTTCGAACTAGCGTGGCTTCTCAAGAGTGGGCAACTGCGCACGTCACTAAGGACATCTTTTGCGCGCGTGTTGTGTGCCAGGCGACCTGCTGGGCCCCCACGTGAACAACCTGGACCAGCTGCTGGTGATGCCCCACGGCTGCGGGGAGCAGAACATGTTGGACTTTGTGCCCAATGTGGTGGTGCTCGACTACCTGCGCAGGGCCAACCGACTCTCCCCGGCTGTGCGCGGCAAGGCCCTTCGCAACCTCGAGGACGGTCAGTTTCACTCCTCTGCTCGCCTGTTCGCAAACTTGCTGATTATTACCCTGTCGGAATTATTTCGAGGCCGCGGCGAATGAATGTGTGTCGATCGGATGTGTTCCGGGGCTACCCAATAGGTGGCACCAGCGTTTTTTCTTTGTAAGCAGCCGTGTGGGGTTGCAACATGCCTGCTGAAACAAAAGTGTGTGAGCTGCCCTTAAACCAGCATCACAGTCTCTCTATTTACAGAGAGAAAACATCGCAGTCTGCAAACTATTCACCGCCGTCGGCGAGTGGTCGGGCGTGACCAGCCTCTAACAGAAGCTGTAGCGTAAATAAATTGCCCAATTAAAAAAGAGAACACATTCAATACTAGAGATCTGTTCTTAAGGGTTTGGAGGAAATCCTCGATTTTCACTAGGAATAGCCAAACATGAAGTTCCAGGATTTCCCCTTAGCACCTTTCCTGTTTTGGACAAGCTCATCAGCTTGAATTTGTCCCCAAACCGTTCGGGACGAGCATAGCTTGTCTCCTTTCGCCAGTTCACGTGCTGGACCATTCCGGACGGACCAGGTTTGCTTGTGGTTTAGTTTGCGACTCTGCCAACAAATTACTGTGCTGCGTTTATTAAATTTTCTCTTGTCTTCTTTGTAGCTAGAAATTTGATTTTGAAGGCAACAAATATGATTTCGGAAGCAAACAGTTACCTTGATATCCTGAAAGATGCCCTCCCCCCCAAAAAAATACCCCCCCCACGTTTTTCGCGGAATTTGCTATTAAAAAAAAAAAAAAAAAAAAAAGAACTCGGAAAGATAGTTTATTTCTAGTAATTGCAATGCCCTGGCCAATGCTGATCTGGGCCGAAATGGGGTTAGATAGCTACAGCAGGAGGTAAGCAAGCATTGCTGACTGGGAAGGGCAGTTGTCTATGCTCCATTGCCCCTTAATGGGAAGACAGGTCTGGCTGGTCGCAGGATACAAAAAATAGCAGTTTTAGAAGTTTTCTTGATTGCACACAGAACATTAACTCACTCCTCATTTTCACCCTATTCGCTCTCGGCTATCTCTCGTGACATTAAAGTCTCAGAAAATTTCAGAAACTAGACACAGTTGAGGGTTAAAATTTCTTTAGAGGAGCCTTGTATCTTGTCGCTCTTGAAAGGAAACTGTGGTAACCTGGAGCGCATGTTCGACTGGCGTGTTTGGTGCCCTACATTGCCAACACATCAAAAGTGGTCCCTGTGTGGCAACAATTAAAACATTCATGGAAGCTTGTGGGGAAAATGTGCCGTATCGGCGTCTCTAAGCCAGCCTTTTGCACGTCTCCAGGCTACCAGCGCCAACTGACCTACAAGAGGGACGACAACTCGTTCAGTGCCTTCGGGAACACGGACCGCAGCGGCAGCACTTGGCTCACAGCATTCGTCCTCAAGTCGTTTGTCCAGGTGAGGCTTGTCGTTCGCCGACAAAAGGAAACTGGGTCGAGGGCCGTCCAAACAGATGCGTGGAATCTGACAGTGTTCGCGTGCGTGGTCAGTTACGCGGCTGTGGGAGCCTACGGCACACGATACAGCGAGCCTGATCCAGCCGATCACGGTGTGCCATGAATTCTTCCGGAGAAAGCTGTTTGGTGTTGCGACATTGGGCGGCAACTATATTTCAAAGCACGAGGTACTTTTCAACGGAAGGCCCAGTCCCGAAATTTCATTCGTCCGTTTGCAGTGATGAAAGTGCTGCGCCATTTGCGCCAAGTTGCGCCAAGAGCGAAGGTCTGCTACAAAAATGGCCGAAGCACCGTTTTTGCTGAGAATGAACAAAAATATTTTTTTTTATTATTGGTTGTTTCTAACATTTAGACAATTAGAAGGAAATAGTAATGGTACAATTACGTATATCGCAGCGTCTTACCTGCCTTGTAGTTTGTATCATCCTAGGTCAGAGCACAGTCAAAAGGTCAAATGCAATCGCAAACACACATACTAAATGAGCGAGACAAGGGACATTTGTTGTGCTCGTTTGGTTTAGGTGAAGAAAAAGCACATACGGATATACTGCAGCCAAAGCTAGAAGTGTGAACTCTACTCTGTTTCACCTTGCGTCCAGACACAGCGGACGCTACGGGCTATCCTAGCCAGTTCTGCTCTGTGGATGTAGCCCGTGATACGCGATACGCTTTCCACGCGTATCGCGTGGAAAATTCCCTCTCCAAGGTCATGTGACACTCACCCGGCCTTGGATTGGCTTCGATGGCTCGTAGCATCGGCTGCGATCGGACAAAGCATGAAGCGGAGTATAGCCTGCACTTCTGACTTTGGAACGATAATTTCTGTCGGGAGCGTTCGTTCTGCAGAAGGCTTCAAGACAGTGGGCCCATGCTCTCGTGCTTGTGGCATTGACCACGTTCTCAGCTTTAGGGCGAACGGAGTATAAGACGACGAATGCCACGATGTCGCCCTTTTGACGCTGTTTGATTGGTCCCATTCGCTTGTGGCGTCGCTCGAACTTGGATTTAGGATGAATCGAGGTGAAGATATTGCTTGTCAGCCGCGCGGGACCCTGTCATTTTCTGAATTTCCTGACGATGTAAGCAATAACGGGAGCTAAAAGTCTTGAGAAAAATTTGCAGTGTGTGGTATGGTAGCTACCGTAATAACACAGAACGAGGTTTTTTTTTACTTCTGATGATGTTACTCGATTATCATGTCTGCCACGTGCCTTCATGCTGTGGCTACGGTGTACCGTCGCACTTGCGCTGCTCACATCAACATTCGCGGCCTTGCACCAGAGCGTGCATGTCAGGCTTCACCGCTTTGCACCGGAGTGTAAGGAGCAACGGCTGGCACGGGGAAGCACGTGGGTTAGCACAGTTGGCTCGGAAGTTGTGCTGAGCTACGTTACAAGTCGTGCAGTTTTGGTCTTGACCGTAGGTTGACCTCTAATTTCCAGAAGCTGTGCCGCGAAAGGAAAAAAAGGGGTCTGTATTTGAATAGATACAGTAGTCAAGGTAGTTCGCGCACGGCAGTCGATTGAAAGGGTAGTGAACTTTGACTCAACTCTGGTTCGAACGCCGCTAAAGCGCAGTGTTGATTATAAGGCACAACTGTAGGTTTCATTGTATTGTTGGCTAGTTATTTCGCAGTTTACGATATTAGGACCTTGAGTTTGGTGTTCATGAAACATGGTGTAGGTGTTGCTGTGCATATTGTCACGAATGACAATTGATGAGGTGATGGTAACTGAAGGAACTAAACGTTGAATAGGGCAAACTTGTGCCCAAAAGAAAAAGGAAACTGAAGATAACAGGAGAGAGTCGCGGGCGTCGATGACAGCGTAACAGCAGGATTGTACGCTGGGGCAGGACTGACTTCGCCTTGACACGCGGAGGGAGCCCTTTATGTACGCACATGGGATTCTGGAACAATCGGAATAGAAAGTTCGGTGCGGAGACTATTCAGACCTCGAACAAGCAACAGGATTCTCGAATTTACCAGAACACGAAATTGAAGAATAAATAAAGGACATGTCAATCCCAGGAACCGAACCCTGACTCCTCGTGTGGGAGGCAAACACAATAACCAATAAGCCACGGCCGCGCTGCCTACTTGGCCAGCTGTGCGCGCGGCAATATCGGCAAAGACAAATGAAAGGAACACACACCACAGGACGAGCACTGTGGTGTGGACTCCTTTCCTTCGTAAAATTTTGCGGGGAGTCGGGGGACATATTTTTATTGGTAGGTGTTTTAACGGATATGCTGCTTTTTGCTGGCATTTTTCAGGAATTGTATTTACAGACTAACTTAACCACTGGGTATAAAAGGGGAAGGGAGTGGGAGACTATCTCAACTGAACAGTGCACTATTTTTTTATCCATTTTTTTCAATACCCATTGTAAATGGAAGCCACCCTGACCTGAGCCTTATTTTCTAAAACAAAGGCCGCGTGTTCCTTTGCATTCTGTCTATTCTTACTGCAAAAGATACCGTATTTGCACGAATATAACGCGACCACGAATATAATGCGACCACGAATATAATGCGAGAATAGGTTTTTATGCCCTCAAAAAAAAAAAAAAAATTATTACTATTATAACGCGAACCGAGGCCGTGTCAATTTCTCGCACTCGGTGGCATAGCAGAAGTGAAAAGTCAATGGAAATAGAAGAAATATCAGTTTATGTTCTGAATGCACTCATCCTCACTGCTCAGGTCCTTCCGTTTACAATCCACTTGGCGACTACGCAGATAAGCAGTAGCACGGCACCTGCTTGTCTGGTAGTTCCCTTTTCTTCCATGTGAGCTCCTCGGCAGCCCGCAATCCAAACAAGGCAGGAAGCAGAAGCACCAACACACAAACACCAGATCACTCTGGAGCAGAAACTAAACAAAGCGCAGGCAGAAAAAAAGACTGCTGAATCCAATACACGATCACACTTCTTCTGGTCCCTCTGCATAAACAAATGCCTCGTGTTGTACGATTGCGTAAACGCGGTTGGTGGTCTTGGCTTCGCTTGTGTTGACTTGACTTGGCCCGGCTTGGCTTGGCTCGAATTAATTAGTTCCCGCATGACGCGCGCATGACGCGCGCGCGCGCCGAGTTTCTGCGGCGTGCGCACGTTGTACAAACACAAAAGCGATAAAAAAATAGGCTTCTTTATGTTTTCTATTTGCCCCTTCACGTGGCCCAATAGCTAATAAATTCCCTTCCACAGCCCCACTTCTTTTCCCACCGGATATTTTGCATTGAGCCGAAGGGATGGCTTTCTCCAGACTCGCGCGCCTCGTGGCTGAACTCAATCCCGAATATAACGCGAGGTGCGTTTTGGAGCACGTAATTTCGAAAAAAAACTCGCGTTATATTCGTGCAAATACGGTAATAAGTAATATAAATTTTCATTTTCAAGTGATCTGCTCCAAATACGTTACTGGGTGCTCCAAACCCATATTTTGTCTGCTACAAAACCTATTACAACAGGTCAAATGCCGCTTCCATCGCTGCATTCTTCTGTTCGTGCATTTTTTGCTAAATGTAGCGGAGAAATTGATGTTACGTGATCTGAAGTCACGTAACCTGTACACCAATGCAGTGTCCACGCTCAATTTTGCGGGGCAGATGATATCACATGACATAAACACCAAATCAGTTTCTTCACTACATTAAGCGAAAAAAAAAGTTTTTTTTTTGCCTTGAAATAACTGTTTAATGTCTTCTGCACACATTTCAACAACCGCTCTTTAAATGCTGCATTTCTTGCATTATAAAAATTTTAAGATAAAAGACGCCACCAATTTGTTTTTCTGCAGTTCTGCGCTTTAATTTTTCACTGTTTTTGCAAACAATTTTCTCTGCCTGTTTTGTGCAGTCACATGCCTCAGTGACCTTCAGTAACCTCTTCTATAATTCTGCACGAAAGATGTAACTATTAATCTTTCTTCAAAAAAAGTTTTGTCATTATTTGTAACTTTTGTTTGCTGTGTGTTCTTCCTTCGTTGTTTTCGCAATAAAGATGCAGCCTGCAGCTGCATCTTCGAGATAAGTCACTGTGTCCTACCACGCAAAACTTACATCTGCGGTTCTGTGCAGTTGGTCAATGTGGTGGTTCCCATTTCTTCAGATTACGCTTCACAAACTAAGTTTCAAGCTAAAGTTACGTCCTCATTCACTCTGGCTTATCCCTCCTCTCAATGCCTCTCAGTTGCCCACTGATCACAATTGTAAAGCGTATCGTAAAGTCCCTATTAAACATCCACCCATGGGGAAGAGGTAAATGTTGAAGAATATTTGGTGGGCCATCTTTGATCAACATGAGCGATAAATATGGGGGATGGGGCATTTGCTATGAACCACACGACATGGGAACTGACATCGCAGATCGCAACCATAGCCAATTTGTGTTCCAGGGTGCATTTAACATGTGAAAACTCCCTACAAATTCCCGTTTCACGGGAATTGATTCCACAGATTGCGGGTGCAGCAGATTCGTGTTTCACGATACGATAAACGTGTGGGAACCCACCGTGAACTAGCTTTTCACAGGTATCAACACCTCAGATCATGCGGTTGAGATTCAAGTCGGACATGGCACGATGTCTGATGAAAAGGGGGGGTGGGCGACGTTTTGGAATTTTTATGCAAGGATTCTTAGCCAGCAAAATGGGACGGGTGATCTTTTGGGGGTAGGGCGTTCGAGCGTGACTTTATGGTAATGTGTAGGATATGGAGAAAGGAGAAAAAAAAAAAGGCAGGTCAGGAGAATTGTTGATAACCTTTTTAGCGCATCATGATTCTGGAACAAATTTATAAATAATTTAAAACTCGAGAAACTCGTGTTAATTCACCGGCCATGTCGTGCTTTTGAGCGTGTCTTGTCCTACGCATTCTTCAGGCGGTGCCGTACACCAGCGTGGACCCCGCAGTGCTGGAGAATGCCACGCGCTGGCTGGTGGAGCGCCAGAAACCGGACGGCTCTTTCGAGGAGCCCGGGGAGGTGATCTACAAGCCCATGCAGGTGAGCGCAGGCATTCGGGGTTTTTTTTGGCGGCCACATTGTGAAGCCCACTCTTCCAAACCTGTGCTTGGGAGTGGCATGACTGCTTCCAAATGCCCAAGAAATACGGGTTGTGGCGAGTCCTAAGTACCTTTTTATCACTCTACACCTAATTGGAGTGCTATGTTTGCCAATCTGACTGCCAACGAGCGAATTGCAAAGCAGGAAACTCGAATGTATTAAGCCCTGCGTTTTTGAAGCAGTCGGTGAGCATAGAGAGCAAGAAACAATAAAATGTCAAATGTCAAACATAGCGTTGATGGTGTCTTCGAGGCGAGAAAACCTTTGCAGCAGCGGTTCTCGAACGTTTGGCTGTCACGGACCCCCGACCCACTCTGAGGCCATTCAGAAACCTCAAATGGATTTTGCGTAAAACATCTTAGGCAATAACATTAAATTTTTTTTTTTTGGCATTGACTTATAGAAACGTTTTCAAGGACACCTGGGGGTCTGCAGACCACAGTTTGAGAACCGCTGCTTTGCAGCATCAAATGGGTGGCCATTTTTTGTAATGGAAACAATGAAAAGGCAACTTGCAGTGAATCGAGATGTGCGCTCGAGGTGCTTTGGCAACAGCCCTTTGACAACGAGGCCATGGCGCTGGGGTTTAAATAAGTGCTTGTTCGTAAGTGTGCTTCGTCCCTTTCAGAGCGGTGCTGGAAGCGGGGCGGCGCTGACAGCCTATGTCCTCATTGCTCTCCTGGAAAACAAGGTGGGCTTTCAGCATGCTCGGTGTTTTGCAGCTAGTGCCACGTCTCACGTTTCTCGTAATTTCACTCGCCCTAAGGCCGTTCTGTAAATGTTTCTCGAGTTCATAACTAGGGTTCCGTTTTTTGCTATATGTCTCACCCACTTAGAACAAAATCGATTCTAATGAAATAGTGGCTATAGTGAAGCAATCACAATTTCCCATTCCCATTTGCACTTTTTCAATGTATTTCTGTCCGTTTTTAGCAAAAGAAATTGAGCGGCTCCCGCGGATAGAGCCAAGAGAAAGTTTGTGATAATTTAAGAAATAATAAAATGAAGAGACTTTACCAAGTCCCAGACCGCCGCACTTTGCTGCCACGGCCGAGCCGCCGCCCAGAATGGGCAGAAGACGCTGCTGCAAAAATGCCGGTGGCAGCCTCTCCATAGCATGCGGAGAAGCTGTCGTGCCGTGCCGATAGGGGCATTTGGAGCGCTAGCGACAACATACCGATAAACACAAAGGAGAGATCCTCGATTTAAGAGAGAGAGAAACTCTAACCATAAAGAGCATTTGCAATTTAATGGCAGACGGCTCTTGGTCCTCCTTGGCAGATTGGTGCAAGTGTGCATGCGTTGGGTTGTTGTGTGGCCAGTGTGACGAGGAGACCGGGCGGAGAAGCTGAGACATTTGCAGACAATGAACGCTTCTTACTCCTTGCAGGCTGCAGCTCGTTTTGCAAATGCAGCCCATAAGCCACGATAGAGCAGTTGCCCCCTCTTCTACACCTAGGCGCTCTATACCGAGGAAATGCGAACTTGGTGCTGTGCGCACTTCTTTGTTTGCTTCATGTTCCATGTCGGCGTCGCTGTTCGGCGTGGTTGCTCTCTGCGCGAGAGTCTAAGAACTTTGCTCAAGCACCGATTACACGAATCATCGCCGCTCACTGATGGCAAGTACGCCAAGTCCCGACACCCCCGACACCTCGATGAGAAAGGGGAAGGCAGTCTTCTCGGAACAGGTGCACGAATCTTGACGAAGTGCACATAAGCCAAAAAAATGCCGTCCACCACCAATGTCCTCCGCGGTGGCCGTGGCAATTTTCAACATGGTCCATACGTAGCTCGCAAGATCCACCCCTGATCGGAGCTGCTTCTTGCACTTGGCAAGAAGCAGCTCTGATCTAGCAGAAGGTGCATGCAGAAGGCCTCGACTGCTTTCTGCAGGCACAATAAACGTGTGCCCGTGACGGCTCATGTCATCTCTTTTTTGCTTGTTACTTTATGGGGCCAGATATAACGAAGTAATTTCAGATTCCTGTTGACTTGGTTATAACAGGTCTCGACAGTATACTGATAAATTGAGGAAAATAACTCCAAGGTGGCTTTATTAAAATCTAAAAAAACTGTATAACTGAATGGAAGCTGTCCTTTGCCCTTTGTTCTTTGCTCAAACCCAAGCTTTGAGCGAAGAAATCTTTATCTACAGCTTTGTCTGGTGTCGGTTTAGAACACGGCCAGCACCGAGCTCTCTGCGAAGCTGACTCTTTCTTTGGGAACCAACCCCCTTGCCTCAGGTCTTTCTCTTGTGGGTACTGGGATGTTCTCCAAATGTCTGGGGTTACAGTTGTGTTCTATGAAGGTTGAGGAATCTCATGCCCATGTCTTGGTTTCTTCAGCATAAGTCCCAATAACACAAATTTTAAAAGAAATAATCTCGGGGAGCAGTGAACCCCTGTTTATAGCGTCGCACTGCCTAAATGGCTAAAACTGGTTAGAACTTCAAAAAGGAACCTTGTAGAAATGTCATGGTGGAGGTTGATGCTTTGCTAAGGTACTACTTTGATGAATCTATACTTTATGTTTAGAGGGGGCTACTATCGACATCAGAGCACATAGTGCTACGTTGCATGATCTGATGACACGGGTTACCACGAAGTGTACCATGGCGTCATGTGACCTGAGAGTGTGTCATGTGGCCATGTGACCCATAATGGACCGACTACATGAATCGTAGTGATAGTGTGGTGATGTGGGCAAGTTGGTTCATGTACTTCTCTCCCGTATTCATTGTTTTGCACACTGTTTCATTTATTGCTTACTCATTGTGAAACCAGCCCCAAAAGCCAAACCTTTAAAACCAAACAATGCAAAACAGATTAAAACAGGTTGATACACCCACGCGACACCTTCTATAGTTGGTTACAAGTCAAGAAGGTAGGAGAAGCTCCTCCCACAACCGTGATGCGCCTGTTTCTAATCCCTCCGCAGTCGAAAGAAGAGTTCACTGAAAACGCTCCTTGTTCCGCTTCAATGGATTCAAACTTGTCTCTGATCCCACTTTTTAAGAAAGCTACCTTTGTATTTATCGGAGTGGGAACCGAGCCCCTGAAAGCAGCCTTTGTATCCATCAGCCTTTGTATCCATCAGAGGGAGAGCCTAATCCCCGAAAGTCGTATTTGTATCCATCGGAGGGGGAAAACTCTATCTCCCTCTCGTGGCTTCCATAATGCTAAGTCAAAGTCGAAAGATAAAGCAAATATGTACAGAAAGGCAAGACCCTCCTCGCGCGTTGGCCATGACGTCATGGAAACAATGGGACGCTATTGGATGCGGAGGGGTATATGATTTCCTTTGAGGGGCATTTGCCGCTACCTTCTTGACCTGTAACTTACTATAGATCATTAAGCTTTTGGGAAAGTATCGTCCATTTCTGCACCGTGCATCGCGCCCGACCCTCCACGGCCCCCCTGGGAAGAAGGCAAGGTCTTCAGTGCACGCACCCTGGCTTTCCCTTCAGGCCAAGTCCTCGCAGCCGGCGGTGGTGCAGGCGGCTGAGGAGTTCCTGCTGAAGGAGCTGAGGACGCAGAGCGACCCCTACGTGGTGGCAGTGGTGACATATGCCCTGCACCTGTCCGGCCACCGGGCAAGGGACGGAGCCTTCCAGAAGCTGCTCTCCCTCGCCACCCGGGAAGGTAAGTTGTCTGCCAGCAGATCGCAGTGTCTCGATTGCCATAGAGCGGTTGCGGCTCTTCGCCTTGACAGGCACGAACAAAGTATGGTTTGCACACTTGCGACTGCTTCCAACAGAGTGCATTGCAACAGAGTGCATTACGGCCGAGTGCATTACGGCCTCTTAAGATATGAAGAGAGAGCACGCTGGGCATGCTGGTGCCATTTGTGAGGTTACCCTGAAATTGCGTTTCACTTTACTGCATTTCACGATAACTTGGCAAACTGTGAGACTATGGCCTTGCGACCCAATAAGAGCATCAGGGTGAGGCCCGGAGGAACTGGCTGCCGTCTGCTGTGGAACCAACCAACTTCAGATGAACATGCACCACCATACAATGCCGTCCTCTAGAGTAGCGAGCTCTTCGGAAACAGTCCACGAGGCAACCATACGCTCAATTTACCCGTGAATCTGTGGCGGGTATTAATTCCAGGGTGGCAATTAATGGGAACTGTTGAAGTGAAGCTGAAGAGGTTCTTGGAAAAAAAAAAGAGTTAGAAGTGAATTCTAGAGTATTTGTTAACCCGTGAATCTGAATATCACATTTGTTTTCCCCGAAGATGTAACTAAACCTAAGAAAACACGAAAAACCTCGGACCAGTTGTTATGTCATAAAAGGATCTTTTGCCCGCCAAGCACGTGTCGCTTGTGTGGGCAGCTTGCAAGCTTGCCAGGTTCTATGTTTCACCGCTTCAACACCAGTTGTGACGTCTTTTTCTGACCTTTTGGAAAATAGCAAGAGTGCGCGTGCATAGCTTTGACAGGCGCTGAAGATGCGTGAGAGTGGAGATTCTGAAAACTTTTTATGACGTAACGCTCCGGGAAGGAGGGGCTTCGGCGGTACTTTGAAAATAATTTTCTGCGGCCTCCGTGCACCAAAATGAAAAAGAAGGCTCAAGATACTCCTAAGCACTTCTTACAAGTTGTGAATGCGAAAGCATGCACGCCGCTCTTCCGCTCCCTTCTTTTTTTTTTTTTTTTACTTGCATCAACGGTCGCGTGCATGCGCTGATCTTGGGCGTGGAGCGGTGGAGCCGCTGCCTCGCAGACACGCAGCGCCATGGGGTGCCGGTCGTTGAAACTGAAGCGCAGCGACCAATGGGAGCCTCGTTTCTTGAAACTATGACGCATGCCAGCCAATGGGACTGAAGCCGAAATCCATCAGCTTTACTCCACTCCTTTGGAATCGGGACAACTAGGTGCTGTTTGCTGTTTGTGTGGTTTCATAGCTGGGAGCAGGCTTGACTTGGAGAAAGGATTTAAGGCGCCGTTTGGCGCGGTTCCACAGCTGATGACGTCAGCTCGCTCCATGAGACAGTTAATGCTGTCGCATTAATAATACAGAACCGCTTCAGCTTCCCTTTAAAGGCTGCCTAGAGCAACAAAATGCTAGGTCTGCCTCTACTTATGGGCATGGTTAGGAAAGAGTTTAGGTGTTGACTGGGGCATTGTGCACGTGCAGACGACATGGTGTTCTGGAAGGACCCCGGAGTGGCGCCAGTAAACACGACGGACAAGCAGTCAGACTTCTTTTTCAAGGCCCACTTCAAGGATGTGGAGATGACCGCCTACGCCCTGCTCACACTCATGGAGAGGGGAGACGTGAGCGCCGCCATCCCGGTCATGCGCTGGCTCGTCTCCAAGCAGAACGCCAACGGGGGATATAGCTCCACCCAGGTACGGGCTGCTCCCTCACTGGCCTAAGAGGGTCTTTTACTGGCCCAGGAAAGTTTCATTGGCCCAATACGCAGCCTTCGATTTGAGTACTGAGTTGAAACAGATGACCACGTCTCTTGCTTTTGCTTGCTTTTGACTCAGTGCGTCGTCTGCTTGCCACACCTGTCAGAAGATTTTATTTAATGATACCGCGGCTTTCCATTGAAAGCCGTGGCAAGGGTTGTACTATGCAGCATTAAAGATACAAAGAAAAAGCATGGACATATAAGAAGCGCTCGAGGAAAATATGTTGTTAAGTGCAGCAGATAGTTTCAGTTGAGGACAGCCTTACTACCGTATTTACTCAAATAATGAACATACTTTTTTTCCTGAAAATTTGACGCATATTTGTGGTGAGGGGTGTTTATTACGCGGGGTAAAATTTTTTGCATTTACACACTTCGTGCAGATGTCATATTAGGTGCCAATATAACACGGCAAGGTACTGTGGCACGTCTCCACTGATGGAGGTGCACCCATGGCTGGTCGGGGGCGCGCCACAGTAACATGCTTTATAAATTGCTAACCTTTTTAGGTAGCTTTCGGCGTGCCTTTTGCGAAAGGAAAAGCACCTTACGAAGCTCGCTCAGCACGGAAAGGAAAGCAACGCGACCATTCTTTGGCTATACATATTGCTAGTATCTGGCAGTGCGCTTGGGTATATACCACGACTACTAAGAACTTGTACGAAGTCCAGCCGCCGACTGCAAAAACATGCTGGCACGGATTAAGTTTTGTTCACGGAGAGTTGGAGACTGCTGTTCCCAGGGGCTACCAGACACTCTCAGCCTACAGTGCAGCATGCACCTCGCTGCATCGTTCCGTTACGGATTAAATAAACACATTTACCTGGAGTATGTGAAATTAGGCCTAACCACTTTCACAATTTCACTGTCCGAAAGTGGACCACAGACTACTGCTCGTTTGTTGACATTAATGCATCCGATAGGCGAAGAATGTCTGAAGCTCAACAATTCCTCGACCCAAGCTTCATCAATTATGCGTGACGGTGATGCTCGGTTTCACGGTTGATCACTTCCGCAACTACGCACTTGCGGCCATTACGAGAGCAGCCTGGCTTGGCTTGACTTGGCCTGACCGCTTGGCGGCAAAAGAAAATTGGCTTGGTGGCTAGCTATATATGACACAATTTGAGAATCGCGGATCCGAAAATTGGAGGTGCGTTGATTACGGGAGGGAAAACAAAAGTCCAAATATTGATGCCCGTTGTTTGGTGTGCATTCATTATACGAGCAAATACGGTATATCATTTTCAAGCCAGGTCCAGTCTTGTATTGCCGGTGCAATTGGTCCTGAACGATTCTACAAATGAGGTGTCACCACGATCACAACCATCACTAACTCGGTTGTGTGCATCGAAATCCGCTATTGACCCTGCCAGATTTGTTGGTCTCATTTTTTTGCAGGAAGGGAGGTATGCCTTAAAATTTCACACGGTAAAATGAACCGCTAGAATCTACCCTTTGTGAAATTTTGGGGCCACTATGTGCAGGTGCTGATTTTTGTGGCCGATTTTAGAGTGAGCTAGAGTATTGTAGACAACCTATAGACTGTTTCACTGAAAGAGGGCGAGGGAGAATAAGAACAGCTACTGGCCCACTTTCCTCCTCGCTAAACTGTGCGAAGCGAGGAGAATCCCCGCATGTGCACCTCGGATGCATGCGATACTGGATGGTTGCTTGCTTCACTCGCAGTTTCCCCTCGTTTTTGCTTCTCTAGATTTAATTAAAGCTACTGGATTCGATGACAACTCCCACCCAGTCATCAGGTTACCATTGCTCGGTTGTAGGTTGTGGGAACAGCCAGCGAAAGCGTAAAATAATATCAGGGGGGCCTCTGTACCACGCACGGAATCCAACAAGGCAAGTGTGGCTGCAATGTTTTGAAGTTTCATTGCTTCCTATGTGACCAAGTACTGCAAATGGCTGTGGGCTGCTTCAATAAACAGAAAAGACTTGAGCCCTTTACAAAATTCTCGAGTGTGCTCGCAACATTTCGTGACTAAGTGCGCCCCGAGTTCAGTGCTGTACCGTCGTTCAACATGGGTTACGATCCCAAGGTAAGTGCAACTTCCTTCGAGACTCACTCTTCAGTTTGTAAAGTTCCTCTTGGTATTCTTCGCAGGTCGCTCTTTGGCGACGACGTTTGCAGAGAACAAACTGTGCCGCCGCTAAGCATGATCATGATTTGCGATTCATAAAGGACTGTTTAGTAGCTGAAGGCTCATTCCCATTGCCGAGTGTGGGTTTCCTTATCGGTGTCCTTAAATCACGATCTCCTGCACAACAGCAGAAAGCTGTTAAATTATGTTAACCGTCGCAATGCGACAGTGCTATTTTACAGATGAGTGCACAACGCAGGTGCTAATAAATATAAACTTCGAATGCCACAAAATGCTGAACTGCTGATAGACCCATGCTTTCAATGTGCCTACAGTATTTTGACGTTGCTGTATGCAGTTTTCGACAAAAGACGCTCCCGTCGAAACGGGATCCTCGATTAAATCTTCTAGCATATAAACATCCATGCATAGCAGACTGAAGCTGTCTACGATCGTTTCCGCGATGGTCCTATTTCGTTTCCTCGTGGTGGACACGGAATGACAAAAACTTCTTGGTGTACTGCACCTGCAACCACGAAAAACATTGAGGGAACTCCAAATTTATTCGCTGTTAACTGATGCATCAGTCTTGAGTACTTGTCTCCAATTTCGATTGCTAGCGCTCGCAGCCACCGCATTTTCTGCTGTTGTTGCATGCATCGCTGCACCCGCGGAAGCCATATTACCGAGTACGAAACAGCCACAGCGTGTTTAAAAATGTGAGTGCATTCAACAACACACAAACCCCACCCTGCGGCAAATATTACTAGCATTTTACCACACCCACTACATCAGTGGCACCCAAAGGAGTGCTTTCACCCAGTTCAGCACAGCTATTGAGCCTAACGCTTGCTAGATGGTGCCCCAGTATTCAAAATGGTGCTACCCACGATAAAACGGTCTATATAAGTAAAACAATGGGCCGAGGGTGCTTTGGTTCGTTACCGACCCTTTGCGTCAATTCCTCTACAGTTGGCACCTGGTATCGTTTCTCCGGGCTCGTAACTCGGACACTGTGCCTCCAGATGGTCCGAGAGAGGGAGGAAACTTGTCCCACTAAATTTTTTGTGCGGCTCGTGAAAGAAAGTGTCTCTGGCAGGATACGGTGATTGGGATCCAAGCCCTGGCCCGTCTGGCTGCCAGCGTGGTGTCGCAGACCATAGCGGTGGATGCCTCGGTCAAGTACGGCGACGGCAGAAAGCGCACCCTCAAGATCCACAGTGGGAATGCCCTGGTGCTCCAACGCATCGAGGTGAGCACTCACTTGCTAATGAAGTAATTGTGTCGCACGTGCGTCTCAGTTGTAGACAAGAAATTTAGCCAGTGCGGTACAACCGCTAGCCTGGGGTCTTTAATGTGCACCACGCAGGAGCGATACGCGACAACACGCCGGTACGATGCTCATTCAGATTGAGACGGGCAGGGGTAGAGATTGAACTCAGGATCCCCGGGCTCTGCGGCGCGAGCTTTTGCTCCACGTGCTCCGAGCATGTGCGCACTATCCCACTCTTCCACTGATCCACCCCTCTTGTCTTCCTGCCGTGGTGACACTTTCTGTGTCACGTTGGTGCAGGTTCAAAGAGATGGTTGCACCTTATTTATTCACCTGATGGGTGACTCTGGTTTCCATTTTCTTAAATTCATCTTTTTATGCGGAGTTTTTTTTTTTTTTTTATTGTTGTGCATTTTGATGTTTGGTTTGTGCCAGTCGTGCGAGTTTTCTTTCATTGTTAAACATTTGCTTGGGCTGTGTGACTCGTCAAGCATGTCCTCCCCAGACAGATGTAGCACTGGATGGTGTGACTCGTCAAGCATGTCCTCCCTAGACAGATGTAGCACTCATCGGTTGTCTGAATAAAACCGATTTTATTTGATTTGACTTCACAACCCACCGATGCCTCAAGCACGAGACACATGCGCGAAAAATTCATCCGATCCGACGTCCGATCCGGCAGTACGACTGCCTGATCCGAAAAATTTGGTCGCTTCAGGCGTCGGACCGGCGATCCGACGCGCATCCAACGCGCCAGATAGTTTCGCACGGCGGACGGATTGTCGGATGCGTCCAGCCAATGACAGCACAGCTAGCGCGAACGTCATGATGACGCACTGGGACTGGCGGGACGAAGCGAACGCGATAACGGCGCAGGCAAGGGGAAGCTGGACGCGTGAATCCCGCTGACCCATTCGAGAAAGATGGCCCCAGCAAAGAATGCACGCGCTATTGAGAACGAACTCGTAATTTCGTTCGTGCGAGTTGAACCGTCAATCTGGGACCAGAGATGACCTCCGGAGTCCGCTGAAACGCTTGGATCTCCTGGGTCCTGGGCGGAGCCGAACGGATCGTCGTGTCGCATGTAAGGTCGGAAGCGTGTGTCTCAAACTGTCGCGTGCGGCAATTCGGAGCGGCGTTCGGACTGTCGGTTCGGACGTCGGATCGGATGGATTTTTCGCGCATGTGTCTCGTGCTTTAGGGTGTGTTGTTGTACCGCTGATCACTGCTGTTGGATAACACCAGTGTTCCAGCGTCTCCACTCTACCCGCGCGGTATACTGGGTGTTTGACTGGACATTGGCCAAAATTTTTGCGTACAAACTAAGCATTGCGCAGCACTAAGATTGCAACTGTATTGGTCACCGTCAAAGGGCCTATTGATTGAGCTACATAGCATTTAGGATGAGTATAACTGACCACATTTGCTAAATTGATGCTGTAATTAGGAAAAAATAAATTAATAGCTCCAATTAGAAACCTGATGGGTATCATAAAACAACCACTAAATCGGTTATACAGTTGAACCTCGATGTAACGAAGTCGGTAAAATTCGCAATTTACTTCGTTACATTGAAATTTCGCTAAATCGAAATTTGGCTTTAGCATGCGAAAAAAAATTCCGAAACATTTTACGGGTATGAAAACTCACCGAAAATGACATTTATTTAGGGGCGAAGTAGTCCGCGAGTTTCGCTTGCGCCTTGTCCGACAGTAGCAGCGGCGTCATACGGCGTTCGAGCGCCCAGAGCGCTTGCACGGCATCCTGCTGCCCATGCGACGCCGTGTACCTCCTCAGTACGTCCATTGCGTCGAGCATTTCCCGAGTGCTCGTGATCTCGGCAGTTTCTTCAGGATGGCGTCCAAACGTTTGCTTTCTCATCCAAAGAAAGAACTTTATGTTTCCTTATGGCAGCAAGCACGTAAGTGAACCGCCCGGTTAAAAAATAAAGCTGTTTAGTTTAGGCAGTTTAGGCGGTGCCAATGTTTCCAACCTACACAGCACTCTTCACCGCACAGTTTACTTGCCCCCTTGCCACCCTTGCGCCCACAGTGATGCTTGCGCCGCTTGCGCCCACGCTCGCAAGACGATAATCGGTCTTTTCGGTCTTCTCCTAGATGGCACTGCCCGTGTGGTCGCGCCATCACGTCGCTCCCCCGCTGAAGTTGGCTCCCGCGCTACCCGCGGTGCAGTGGAGTGGACTATGGTTATCAGTGAATGTCAGCGGTGATGCTGGTATGCCGTGTTAACTTTTTGCTCGGCATTTTCTGGCCAGCCTCGCGGAATCCGCTTTGCCGCATGCCTCGCCGGCGCTACCGGTGCCGCATCCTCGGGCAGCCTGGGAACGTTGGAAGGCCTGTCCCCGTGAAGTAACCTATCAAGCGCTCGCGTTTGCGCATAATTTTTTTTTTTTAACCACAATTTTTTTGCGAAGTTGTTTTTTAGAGTTGATTTATTTATTGCCTTCTATGGCAATGGCACTTCGTTATAGACTTAGACTTCGTTATATAGAGACTAAAAATACATGGGGTCTATGGGCAAGAAATTATGAAAAATAAAATACTTCGTTAAATCGAAGATTTCGTTACATTGAAGTTCGTTATATCGAGGTTCGACTGTAATAAAAAACGTAGGAAGCATGCATTCAGTTTTTCTGGGTTCCAAAAATGCATTCAACTTAATGGCACCTGCACGGTTTTTCCCTTATCTACATTTTTGCTCTGCCAGCCTGGTTTTGCATACATAAAGAAATAGCATTGTTGCCACTGCTATTCTAGAAAAAAATTATAATATGGTCGTAACCTAAATGTTAGATCAATACGGTGTCAGATTGCCACAGCTGATTACCAATGTTTCCACCACTCTCAATTTCATATTTTCTCTTTCCTATTAATCTGGAAACTGATAATTGAGGCCAGGTATCTACGGAACTACCGTAAAGTCCCGTAAGAACGCCCAACCAAAATGTAGAGACAAAAGGTGAAAAACATGGGGTGAGCTGCCTTTGGGGATGCTGCAGCAAAACTTTATCAAAAATTAATCATAAGCACCGGGGCACCCGCTACAAACCACGTGACGCGAGAACTGATACCGCAGATTGCGAACACGGCAAATTTGCGTTTCACAATGCAATAAACACGCGGAAATTCGCTACAAACTCCTGTGTCACGGGAAAGGATGCCGCAAGTGGCTGACGCAGCAGATTCACGTTTCGCGGTGCGAAGTACTCGCGGAAACCCGCCGAGAACTCGCATCTCACGGGAACGGATACCGCAGATCGCGGACGCAGCAGATTCCAGTTTCATGGTGCAATAAACACGCGGGAACCCGCTACATTCTTGCCTGTCATGGAAACTGATATTGTGCACGCAGATCGCAGACAAAAACACGGGAATATGCTACAAACTCGCATGTCACAGAAGGAAATACCGCAGATTGCGGACGCAACAGAAACGCATCACTCGCACGTGTTGCAGCTAACACGGGAATTCGCTATGAACTCGGGAACACGGGAATTCGCTATGAACTCGGGAACAGATACAGCAAATTGCAAACGCAGCAGATTCGCATTTCACGATGCAATAAACACGCGAGAACAACTCGCGTGTTACGGGAGCCGTAACAAAAACTCTGACAAAAACGCGGGAACCCGCTATGAACTCGCTTCTCGGACACACCGGTACCGCCGGTCGCGCCGTTGATGCGCGATTCCCGTCGGACATCGTTTGACGTACAGCGGGAATCGAGGGGTGGGCGATCTCTCAGGGGAGGGCGCCCTTGCGGGATTTTACGGGATACACAATACCGAAAAAATATTTAAACCTCATACTTCAGGAATGCTAACTGCGCTAATACTGTTGCAACCCCGAGGTCAGAGAAGTGGAGCCAGCAGTCTTTTAATACTACAGCAACAACATAGAGATTTTACAGTAGTGCGATAGAATCAATATTCTATGTGTAAAAATCGGCAAGAAACATATGGAAACACGACAGTCCAGCAGAGAAGCATGACTTATACTTCAGCATGCTTAACATTCTTTTGGAGGCATGTGCTTGGAACTTTCAAAATTTATTTATGAATTAAAAACAAAACAAAACAAAAAACAATCACATTTTTTTGGTGGTAGTTGTATGTGGTGCCAGCTGGTGCTTACAACAAAACATTAACATGAGAATTTGCCAAGAAGGGAAAGACATTAAACGGGTAGAGTTCAACTATAAAAAAAGAAATGTGCTGGTTAGTAGATATATGTAGAACTCGGAGAGCTTATAGGGAAAGACACAAGACAAGACAATGTGCTCGACGTCTTCTCTTCAACTCGCCTTTCTTGCGCTCTCAGTTCTGCGAGAGTAGAGTTTGTGTCCTGCTTTCTAACTGCATGTAACATTCTACATGGTATCTGTGAAATGCTTAACTGCGTTGATGCACCGTGCGACATCCAACTTGCTGCAATCGGTACACTCAAAGCTGCCCATTCATTGTTTTGTAACTGCACAAAATATTTTTGCAGCTTCCATCAGACTTGAAGTATGTGGAGATCGAGTCCTCTGGATTTGGAGTGGCCATTATACAGGTGAGACTGGTTGTCCAGTTTATAACTGCCTTTTGAACTGGGGTCTAAACGTTTTGCATTGGTGTTTTTGCATCTTAACTGTCCAGTTTGCTTTAGGAAAAGGAAGTCAAAGAGTTGTCTTCATTTCCTTTCTCTTTCGCCTTACTTTGTGTGTGCATTGTTTCTGCCCCCTCAACCCTCTTTCCTGTCAGCAGTGTAATGCTGTACTGTTGAGAGACAAAGCTAGCCCTGCCAGAATTCCACAGGGAAGTTGCAGCAGGGTACTATAGGAGATTTTTTATGGAAGTCACAGTGTGGCCTTATTAGCAGGGTGTTCGTAGTCATATATCGGAAAACACCAAGCAAGCGCCCCTTTGCAAACAATCTCGAAAAGCTGGAAGGTCGGTGGTTGTTGGATTTTAGAGCTAAGATGCAGAAGGGGCATGAAGTAGAGTAGGATTCAGGACTTTACGCTGCTACCCACGTGTCAAGCTTCACCGCTTCCTAGTGGTGTGCTTGGAGAAGCTATTGATAGAAAGGTTGGAAACTGGGCTAGTTAGTAAGTACTCATTCCAGTTAAAAACGGACAAAAGATGGGGATAAGGTAGAGTACAATGTTAAGGTGGTTTTCAGGGCCCCAAACAGATTGATCCAGGTATGTAAGAAGTGGTGGAAGAAAGGCAAAATTTCTCGCGGAATAAGACACGCAAACCATTTTGTTCACTGTCGGGTGGGCATCTGCATCGTGTATTGCATTCCGCTGCCGTGCGGAAAAGTGTATGTGGGGCAGACAGGACATTGCGTCGACGATAAATTACAAGAGCACAGTGCGTCGCTCCATTCAATGCCGCCGGGCCATTTGGCTGCTGATTGCGATGGTGCTCCTTCGAATTTGCTGATGCAAGTGTCCTGGGCAGATCCAGAGAGCAAGAGAAATTCTGGAGGCCCATAAAGTAAAATCTGGGGGGGAGAGTTGCATCAGTCATCCTTCCCTCGCGTTAACAGATGCTGACATGCGGTTTTTATTTTCGACATTGCCGCATGTTTTTAGTTGGGATTCGTGACCAGGGAGTTTTCTCCAGGTTTTGAAGCTGGGATGAATTGTTCCGCACATGAGCAAAAGGAGGGTGGGGTGGGGTGGGGGAGAAAACCTTTCTGTTTTCTATGTGGCCCCTGAAGTTCAATTAAACTGCCAGTTGCGAGTGAGCCTTGTTTGTCGTGTTTGTTTTTCAGTTTGTCCTCACCTTTTGTGTGCTTTTTAACCAAATTGAAGCGGTCGATGATGTGGAGGAGTATTTCAGTTAGCTCGGTGGGCTCAGAAGTCTGCAATGGAAACACGCTTATTGTCACATGGGTGCACACTCGTTAATCTACAGTACCTAAAACGATGGTACTGTCTTTTTTGCTGCAGCTCAAACCAGTACTCATAGAGCGGATGCTTCGCTATGGTATGTTTTTTGTCTCAACACACGCAAGTTGAAGGAGCCTATGTACCGACAATCGGCACAAACCTGCATATGCCGCTTTCCAGTTGCCGGCAGTTGGCTTCCAGTGAGTGGCTCACTGCTGCGGCACGAGCAAAGGGAAGCCCAAAGGCCAACGGCTGGAAACACTTACACTCAGACTCTATTTCAATTTGTGCTTCTTGAACCTCGTGCCATAGACACACTCAAGCGTGAACTGCCTTGACACGCGTGACGCGGTTCCCTGCGTCATTTGCCCACACTCTCCCTCCTCCCGCGTGCAGGTGTCGTGGTCCTTCAACCTGGCCGTATCTTCGGAGGCCCCTGCCTTCTTCCTCAACCCACTGCTGGATAAGACCTCTACCGAGAGCTACCTACAGCTCAGTGTCTGCACACAGTGAGTCCTCTGGGGGTGCAACTCGTGAACACTGACATTGGCCCCTGCACTAAAGGCATCGCACGCACAACAAAGCCTACGTGCCAGGGAAGCGGCAAGCGTAAATTTGAGAGCGATACAGCTTGTGTTTACGGCTGCATTGTCGAGGTGTCCACTAATGGGAAAAGCATGCAATGGTGGGGAAATTCGGGAAGGACACGGAACATCGGGTAGCTGATGCTACTTTACCGTAGGCTGACTTACTCGGATGTTTAGACACCGGTTGGGTGTTTTTCAAGGAGTCAATTTGCTGAACCCTTTAGACACCGGTCGGGTGTTTTTCAGCGAGTCAATTTGCTGGACCCGATCTTGAGGTCGGGTGCAGCGAGTGCGACCACAGTACGTTTCGGAGTTCTGAGAATTCTGCACCAGATGGCACTGCCCATTCATCCCTACCAAATTTTTTACAGACCTACGAGCTCGTAACCCATTGTGCCCAGCTATTGTAGGTTCGTCCGGTGTGTCCACCGTCATTCGCTCCTAAACTCGACGTAAGGCGACAACAAAGATAATTAAAATATGGGACACGCGTGACTCCAACTTGATTGTCTTTATTGCTTCTCGCTGCTCCCTTTGCCCGGAGTTTGTCGCTCGGTGTGCCCTTTCTCTTCTCCGAGATCTATCTGCATTGACCATCGAGAGTTTCGGATTTGTCAACGTCAGGCAGTGCTCCACGATGGCTACGTTCAGTGGTGCTGACCGCATTCCGCATTCGTCTCCGCAGCTACCGTGGCGAAGGGGAGGCGAGCAACATGGCGGTGATGGAGGTGGGGCTTCCTTCGGGCTACCTCTTTGACTTCGACACGCTCAGCAGCATCCACAGGACCAAGGAGGTACGCAGGGTTGAGAGCCAGGACTCGGACACCAACGTGGTCATCTACTTCGACAGGGTGAGTGCACCACCCGCCCGTACCGTCTATGACCATTGTATTGACAGGTATATGTCCTCAAAAGTGGTCCCTCAGTTTCTGCCCAATCAAGTCACACTTGCATTGTGGTGCTGCCTGCTGCGATCCTGGTAGAGGAGGCAGACGCCCCTGCTCCACTGTATTTCGCTCTCCAGCTTGACTCTGAGTGGAAGTTTCAGCAGCCAGGAGTTGGAACACTGCAATGGCAGTGACATTTGCGTTTGCTTGTCCTTCGTTGCTGGAATGTTTATTACCATTCGCTGGGATTGCGACATTCGGCAGCGTAACGGGCAGGCTCCCGCGACGTATTTCGTTGCCGCTTTGCGACCACTTTTGACGAGTGAGCAGTAGGGACGTTAAATGCACCAGTCGAAGACTCGTTCTGCACACTTTACCCGTATCTCCTTAGGCACGTATAGAATTGATTGTTGCGATGCACTGAGAAACATTCTCTGCAAAGCTGTCCGAGAGACGAAGTTTATGGTGTGAAAAAAAGACCACAATCATTGGTGAATACATGTAGCAATTTTTTTTTAGGAGTTGTCTTGGTAGCTTTGAGGCCAAGTGTCGGCCTACGGATCCCCATGTGGCAGGGTCTATTCTCAATCGAGGAGAAACGCGTCCCGACCAAGGCTTATTGCAGAGAAGGCGCCCTGTAACCAAGATTTAATGTATGTTGCCCATCGAGAAATCTCCAGGTGGTTGAAAGTAATCCTCAGCTTTTTCCCAGCGCTTATCAATGCCCTCCGTTGGTTTTGGACCGTGGTGTTCCGGTGGGTGATCGATGAATCGGAGACGCTGGCGTGACTCCGGCATCATTTATTCTCCGGCAACCGAGCACTACAGCTCTCGCAGGGTGATTTTCCAGCCAACACGGCTGTGATAGCGATAGGTGCCGTGAACAACATCAAAACATAACAAAATAATTTGTTGGTCTAGTTGGTTAAAGGGCAACTCCGCTTAATTTAAAAAATTTTGAGATAGTGGCCGATTTTGCTTTTTGAAGCACTCAAAAACAATCCCCAATCTTTTGTTTTGAGAAAAATAAAATATCTTTCGTGTAATTTTACTCTAGCCATGATCACAAACCGAAACTGAAAAACGGTGGCAAAGCCGGACAACATTGTATATTCGGCATCACTAAGCATGTACACCCATGTGATATACAAGGGGAAGAAGGAGCTCCCCTCTTATCAGGATCCTCCTTTGTGCCTCCTGGATTAGCACAGGCGTCGCTATTCTCCTCCCAGAAGATTATAGAAGATTAACCCGTCACTCATAATTCTTACAAAAGCAGCTTCCCTCTCCTCCTTTTACATGGTGTTCAAAAGTATGCGATGCGATGTCAGTGCAAGGAGCGCACTGAATACACAAGCCGCGCTCAACGAGGCGATGGGCCTATCAGTAGTATCAATAGTCGAGCGCCGGGCCGGCCGAGCGCGTCACTCACGTCTCTCACGGCGCTGGCGCCGCCCGTGCTCTCCCCGAGAAAGAAAACAAAATTGAAAAAAAAAAAAAAGAAGCTGTACATGCTTGATGACGTCACGGACGTGCCGGGAGAAGGAATTTGGAGGAAGCGGAAATGCAGCCGGGCAGTGTTGTCTGGCCCGCACGTCTCATCCAAAACCAGCGGATTCGTGCTTGTCAAACTTTGACAGCGATTTTAATGAACTTCTAGGCGGAATTCCGTCGTAATATTTGCCATGGGGGTTTCGTAGATGATAACAAAGAGAACTGTATAGTTTTGCACTACTGGAAAAGAAGCGGAGTTGCCCTTTAAACATCACGAAAATAGAAAGCGCAAGTAAGTGCTTGTTGTGTGTTGCCTTCCACTTGCATTTTCGTGATCAAAAGATATCAGCACGTAAAAACCCTAAATTTGACTTGATTTTTTTCGAGTGTGATTTTATCCACCGAGTTCTTAGTTTTGAAAAATAACAAGGGTTCTTGAACATTTTTTTTTTTATTTTCTCATTTAACTTTAATTTAGTGTGCATATGATTTTTCTAATGACAAATTCGAATCTACAATTTGATTTAAATTAATGTACCATGGAATTTGTACCAAAATCTAGAGAGAAAAGTCTGCCATATTTCAATGTATTCCCGCCGCTCGGAACGGGAATCGCTAGCGAGGCGTTAATAAACGCGAAGAAGCAGAACAATGTCACTTTGAAGGTCGGTACCTAATCTTTTTCAGTATTACCTTGCAAGAAAACGTCTGCATTGTGTATCAGATAAAAAATAGCATGCCGACATTGCTGCTGTTGTTACGCTGATTCTCGACGGAATACATTGGCATTTAGCACGGGGGTTCCAACTCTGCAAAGGATCAAAATTCCAACCTCTCAACGGTTCGCATACCATTGCAGCCACCACAGCTTTCCTCGATCGCTGCCTACAGTTCGCATACTGTTGCGGTCAAAGAGACAATCTTTCCTGCCAGTTGTTGGCGGTTACGCACAAATGGTGTCGCTGCTGCACCTGTTTTACATGGTCTCTTACGTTGCGCATACTGGGGAAACGAAACCACATGCCTTCCCCGGTGTCGTCGTAAAAGGAGTGTGTGTCAACAGTTGTGCACTATTGGATGCGTGCGAGAGGACTCATTTCCTCTTATGTAAGAGAGAAAGTGGACATAACGAGCGAACAGACGAAGCGAAAGAGCACGGTGGGAACCGTGCCACGGCTTCATGAAACCAGTCCAGTCTAGTCCAGCCCAAAGACGGCCGCAAGCATCAATGGAGTAAGTGCTGATGCATTTAATGTGTGACGATCATTGGGATCCATCCGATGGAAATGCGTTGGCACTGGTTCTTTCTCACCCGCTTTTCACCTTTCTATTTGTTTAGGACACCTTGCCATTAATTTATCACCGCTTTTCTGTCATTTATTACCCGTTTCCATTAGTTTATGACTGCTTTTGAACCGTTTATTACTCGTTTTCAATTTTTTTTTTTCACCCCCTTAATCACTCGTGGAAAGAACCGCATCCATCGCCCAAGCGGCAACTGAGCTGGGCCGGATTCCAAAGCGGCGCGGTGCCTGCTCATCTCTGGCTCTGCGCCAGCTGTGCGACGCTCGTATTCGTCCGAAGAGCTGACGTCACCTCTCTTCCTTTCTCCCTACTGCCGACAGACCTCCTCACCACCCCCTCTCCTTGCAGCGTCATGCATGGCGCTGACACACGACTTGATACCGGCGGGTTTTTATGAAAACAAGTGTTCTATGTTGATGCATTAAAACTTTGACAAGCACTCGAACAACTTCAGTACATACATTGTGGTGGAACTAACACACCAAACTTTTTGTCTGCTTCTTTTTTGCCCTCTTCTGTCGCTCTTTTTTTTTTTTTTTAGCTCTTAGAATTACCGATGTCCGTGCTTACGATGTGCCCTCTCCTCGTGCAGATTGGGAGGGAGGAGCTGTGTGTGACTGTGCCCGCCCACAGAGAGCACAAGGTGGCCAACCAAAAGCCCGTGCCCGTCAAGGTCTACGACTACTACGACCTCGGTGAGCAGGGCACTGGCGACCCCTTCAGATTCTAACATAGACTTTTTTCATGCGGGTGTTGCCATTTTGAATTGCGAAACTTCCGATACAGGGAGGAGCCTGTTTTGCCCTTGTCACACCACTGGGCAGCATGCACATTTTAATTGCAGCTGTCGTTCATTGGTGTTTTGCCTCTTATAGGCTCTTTGTTTACTCCAGGTTGTAAAGTCTCGCTTTTTTCTCGTACCCGGTACCAGATATGTGCACTAAGTAGCTGGGGATGAGGGAAAGTAGGAATGGTTTATAGGGGAGAGCTGGGCACTTTTGGGCATTACGAGAATGGGTTATGGTAATGCTTTACTGAAGTGTCTTGTGGACATTGATTACTAGAGTGCATAACACATTTGAGTATTTATGGAAGTGAGTTGCTTTTTGTGAAAGTAGTAGCCATTTTTTTTAATGTTGAGATTGCCTTGTATAGGCACAATCGGTGTCATTATGTAAGTGTCTGTGCGGCTACATACATCCTTGCGGACACAAGAGACTAGGCAGGCTTCTCCCAGATGTTGGGAAAGGTTAGGCAGAGATAGGCTTCTTGGACTTGCGGTCAAACAATAGTTATGCAGTGAGTGAAGCCAGCTTGTGCCACAGGTGACATTACTGCCATTTCTGGGTGTCTGATTTTGGTCCTTTGTGAGAGTGAGAGCTTTCTCGACTTTTGATGGGACATGCCATCACAACTTTCTGCTGGGCAAGTGTTATTTACCAATAATAAGTTTTTTTTGCCCGTTCGCACGTTCATAATTGGGCGGCATTTTGGTGAGAACGTCTCACCAACACACGGATGGCAAGAGAGGTCTTGCAGCCTCCGACATGCTTGTCGCAAGCCTTCCTTCATCCACCGGCCATTGTCAGCTCGTGTGTGGCAGCAGAACAAGTTGAGATTTGCATAGGAAGCACAGGTTGTCGATCGCTTCCTACGTGAAATAGCAGACAGCCACAATTTCAACCTGCATCCAATATCACTTTGCCGTGGCACTCGGTTTGTGTCATACCTTTCTTTTGGTTCTGATAGCACACAGCTTGAATCTGTTTTCTTGTTGTATTTGCACCTGCGAATGATGGCCGACAAAGCCCATTCCTCACTCGTGATAGCAGACAAACCATCCGCTAACAATATCTTTGCTCACTTCGTGAGAATCCAACTATATAGCCGCTGGCAGGCACCTTTTCCTCCAACGTGCACTCGTCGCCTTCTGCCCTGCCTTGGCTGCACATGTTTGCTTGAGGCTCACAAGATGCCAGAGCGTTGTTAAAACTAGAGTCACTTAGTAAAGCTACGCTTTCAGAGTACCGAAACTCCCAAACTTTGCTTCTGAAGCACGTCAGGCGCCGCCATCTTGGGTCCGCGCGCAGATGGAGGAGTGACTGTAGCTGAGCCAAGCCGAGCTGTAGCCGTCGCCTGCACCAGCTGCCGCGGCCGCAGCTGTGGCAGCGAATCAAAGTCGTGTTGTTCGTATCTTGACGTAACACAAAAATTCGCGTGCCGAGCGACGGACTTCAGCGTGCGCGCGCAGTAAACGGCAAACAGCAGCAGGCAGAGGATCGATGGACCCAAGATGGTGGCTTTGAAAAAACGCAATGATGATGATAGCGACTTGCCTGACTGCCGCTGTCCAATGATGCCGCAGCGAACCAGAATATTGTTGAATAGAGTGACTGTATTGTCGGCAAAATGCCAAAGAAAAGGAATGCGGTACTCTGGAAGTGTAGCTCATTTAGCAACTAGTTGAAACTAGTAAACTCACACTGGAGGTGGGGCTTGGTGGAGGTGGAGGTGGATGGGAGATGGAGGGTAGAAGGTGGAGATGGGAGATGGAGGGTGGAAGGTGGAGATGGAGGGTGGAAGGTGGAGATGGGAGATGGAGGGTGGAAGGTGGAGATGGAAGGGGAAGGTGGAAGGTGGAGGAAGCAGGCACGTCCTTTTTCCTCTGGACGACGTGTAACCAATCTGCATGTTCCACCAGCCCGCAGTGCCCGGATGTTCTACAGCCCGTACAAGACCACCCTGTGCGACGTATGCGACGGGGTCGAGTGCGGCAACGACTGCAACACCGTCAAGGGCACCAAGGCAGGCACCGACCAGCTGGAACGGGAGACGGAACCCGACGCCGCCGCCGACACCAGGGCATCTCTCGCGGCTGTGCTGGCACTGAGCCTCACTGCGGTGCTCTTTGTCCGCTGGTGGTAGCCGCCGGCCGTCGCACGAATCCTCTTCCATGGGGAGCCTCTTGATTGAGCATCGATTTTGGCCGTGGCCACACTGCCACGAAACCAGGACGATGGTGTTTTGTTTTGCTGGAGTGACGCAGAGTTGCCCGATTGGTAGTTGCTAGAGCGGACTGACTGCATAATGTTATGCTATGTTCTTAGACTTCTTACCGAAGTGATTGAATGCCGCTTTGCTGGCATAGTGTTTTCGTCGGATATTATCTGTATGTTTTCGGTGTTAAACGATCGATCGAATGTTCGCATTTGCAGCTATCGTGCTGCTCCAGGCGGTGATCCATTTTGCATGTCTCACTTAAACGGTAATGTCTAGGAGACGTCCGAAGCTGTTTGATGTTCCGCCCAAAGTAGTCTCGATTTCCCGCGTGGGCCCTTAGCAACGCACCCGGGTTTATTTCTGCTCTCAAGTAAGTTAGATGTGCACTTGTGTTTTTGCGAGGAATGTGACACACTGGTGAACTGTGTTCACCTTCTGCATGTAAGGCCGAGAAATCTTTAATGCGCTTACCTCGTTTAGTCAGTTTCTCAGCCGTTTCTTAGGGCATTAAAGTTTTCTTTTTTTTAGATTTGGCTGTATTTACAGTGAAATCGTGGTGTACCGAAGCTTTGGTTCTTAGCTGTTGAAGAATTCTAAAAATTGTAATTGTGATCTTCCTGCTGCTCTCGCCATTTTAAAGTGTGTGTCAAGTGTGAGTAATGAATGCCATTTTATTTTATACATTATATGACACTGGTCTGTTGTATATAACACGTAACAATATACACATATGCTTGTACATATATTAAGATTTTATATGGCTTCTTAACTGATCCAGCCCTACCCTGATAGGCAGAATTGTAAATGTCTCTTTTGTATGTCTTCATTATTTTGATGAGGCAATTTTAATGTATATATAAATATGGATATATATATTGGCAGGTCAATGTTCAGCCAGAAGATATAAGCCTGCTACACGTGGCTTCTGGGCTGAGCTTCATAGAATACAGACGTCTGGCACGGGACATTCAGGATAGCCCTGAATGAACTTCCCCTTTCTAGATATAGGAGGAGTGTGCTACCGCAAGATGACCTAAAGGAGTAAAAAAAAGTGGAAACTATTCTTTGCTCCATCTTTTTTCTCTTTCAAGGCTGGCTTCTGCAGCCAATTGCACAAATAAATGCTGTGATGTTTTCTTAGCACATACAATGACATACATTCCAAAGCTGTTTCTCTTAGTAGGGTTGTTTGTGATTTTTTTATGCCCGCGTTTCTACCTTTTGCGACTCTTCATAATCATGGCTCTTCAACATTCCCCATCATATTTATTTGCAAGCTGCCTGTAATCCTGCTTCTAAAAAATAATGCTGGAACTATAAAAAAAAATGTGCTGTATAAATTCTATGAGGACACCAAATAAATACTTTTTACTCTTTGTGGTGCTAGTAGTGGTTTCGTAGCTTTCCATCGATTCAGCTTTTTGTAGTCTACTACGTAAAATCCCAGTTGAATGCCCACTCATGGTGAAAAATAAATGTAGAAGAAATGCTCAATTCTCGATGATCCCACGGATGAAGTCGGTGTACACGAAATGTATGGTCTTAAAGGTGCACTGAAGTTGTTTCTGAGATCGTCATTTTATGGTGGTAACGTGACTTACGCGCTGAAAGCATTTCCAAAATCGAAAAATAAGTTGCGTGGCCTATTTCCCTCTTAAAAAAAAGTGAAAGCCGTTTACAAACCCCTGTAACGCCGAATTGGAGCGCAGCTCTTGAGGAGGAGGAGTGAAGGGTACTGAGGGGAGGGTAGACCCCTCCTCCTTCTCCTCCCCTCATTCTTTAATATGCTCCGGGGGGGGGTCACGTGACCTCGGGGGGGGGGGTGTCACGTGACTTCGGGGAGGCGGGTCACGTGACCTCGGGGAGGTGTTACCTGGGGGTCACGTGACCTTGGGTGTCACATGGGGGTCACCTCAAGGTCACGTGACCCCCAAGGTGACCCCCACGTGACCTCAGGGGGTCACGTGACCTCAGAGGGGTCACGTGAACTCAGAGGGGTCACGTGACCTGGGGGGTCACGTGGGGACCTTGGGGTCACGTGACCTTGAGATGACCTTGGGAGCGGTCACGTGACCTCGGGGGTCACGTGACCTCAGAGGGGTCACGTGAACTCGGAGGGGTCACGTGACCTCGGAGGGGTCACGTGACCTGGGGGGTCACGTGGGGACCTTGGGGTCACGTGACCTTGAGATGACCTTGGGAGCGGTCACGTGACCTCGGGGGTCACGTGACCTCAGAGGGGTCACGTGACTTGGGGGTCACGTGACCTTGAGATGACCTTGGGAGGGGTCACGTGATCCCAAGATGACCCCACGTGACCCCCAAGGTCACATGACCCTGAGATGACCTTGGGAGGGGTCACGTGACCTTGGGGGTCACGTGATCCCAAGATGTCCCCACGTGACCTTCGGGGGGTCACGTGACCTTGAGATGACCTTGGGAGGGGTCACGTGACCTTGGGGTCACGTGACCTTGGGATGACCTTGGTTACGCCGACGGCGACGCCGCTCAAGCCGGGAACGGGCCCCTAAGAGCTGCGCTCTAAAATATTAAAAGTTGAGGACACGCCCTTCCTCGGGGAAAATTCTCTGAGTGAAGCAGTCAATGAAGGTGCTCGTGTGCCAACGAGGTAGAGAGGCTTGGAGCAATACCGTATTTACTCGCACAATGAACACACTCGCGTAATAAACGCACCCCCCAAGGCTGCTCTCAAAATTTCGGCTCTTTCACTCGCGTATTAAATGCACCCCCAACTCGGATGTCAAAATTTTGACCCCCTCCCCCACGCGTGCACTTTTCTATCCTGGTCGCGAATGCGTGGGCGAACAAAACTCCTTGCAAAAGGTGTTAAAAAAAATAAAGATCCAACGGAAGCAAGAAAAAAAAAACAGGAGCTTTTCTTTTTTTTGCACAGCCCAGTCTGGACTTTGGGGTCGCGTGCCGCGCGCAAGGAGATAAGATAAGCGGAGAAGCCCTCGCCTAAGCAAACGAAACAGCTTGCGAAAGGCGGCAAAAAAAACAAAAAAAAACAGAACTAAGAGAAAACAAAAACAAAGAGGAGCTTTTTTTTGCACAGCTCAGTTTGGTTACGGGGTCGCGCTCAAGGAGATAAGAAAGCAAGCGGAGAAGCCCTCGCCTGAGCAAACGAAACAGCTGGCGAAAAGCGGCAAAAAAAAAACGCTTTTTTTTCCTTCTTTTTTTTTTGTACAGCTCAGTTTGGTTACGGGGTCGCGCTCAAGGAGATAAGAAAGATAAGCGGAGAAGCCCTCGCCTGAGCAAACGAAACAGCTGGCAAAAGGCGGCAAAAAAAAACGGAACTAAAAAAAAAACTGGCTTTTCCTTCTTTTTTTTTTTACAGCGCAGTTTGGTTACGCGGTCGCGCGCAAGGAGATAAGAAAGATAAGGAGAGAAGCCCTCGCCTAAGCAAACAAAACAGCTTGCGAAAGGCGGCAAAAAGAAAACAAAAAACCACGGAACTAAGAAAAAAACACAAAGGAGCTTTTTTTGCACAGCTCAGTTTGGTTACGGGGTCGCGCTCAAGGAGATAAGAAAGCAAGCGGAGAAGCCCTCGCCTGAGCAAACGAAACAGCTGGCGAAAGGCGGCAAAAAAAAAAACGCTTTTTTTTTTCCTTTTTTTTTGTACAGCTCAGTTTGGTTACGGGGTCGCGCTCAAGGAGATAAGAAAGATAAGCGGAGAAGCCCTCGCCTGAGCAAACGAAACAGCTGGCAAAAGGCGGCAAAAAAAAAACGGAACTAAAAAAAAACTAGCTTTTCCTTCTTTTTTTTTTACAGCGCAGTTTGGTTACGCGGTCGCGCGCAAGGAGATAAGAAAGATAAGGAGAGAAGCCCTCGCCTAAGCAAACAAAACAGCTTGCGAAAGGCGGCAAAAAAAAAACAAAAAAAACCACGGAACTAAGAAAAAAACACAAAGGAGCTTTTTTTGCACAGCTCAGTTTGGTTACGGGGTCGCGCTCAAGGAGATAAGAAAGCAAGCGGAGAAGCCCTCGCCTGAGCAAACGAAACAGCTGCCGAAAGGCGGCAAAAAAAAACGCTTTTTTTTTCCTTCTTTTTTTTTTTGTACAGCTCAGTTTGGTTACGGGGTCGCACTCAAGGAGATAAGAAAGATAAGCGGAGAAGCCCTCGCCTGAGCAAACGAAACAGCTGGCAAAAGGCGGCAAAAAAAACGGAACTAAAAAAAAACTAGCTTTTCCTTCTTTTTTTTTACAGCGCAGTTTGGTTACGCGGTCGCGCGCAAGGAGATAAGAAAGATAAGGAGAGAAGCCCTCGCCTAAGCAAACAAAACAGCTTGCGAAAGGCGGCAAAAAAAAAAAAAAACCACGGAACTAAGAAAAAACACAAAGGAGCTTTTTTTGCACAGCTCAGTTTGGTTACGGGGTCGCGCTCAAGGAGATAAGAAAGCAAGCGGAGAAGCCCTCGCCTGAGCAAACGAAACAGCTGGCGAAAGGCGGCAAAAAAAAACGCTTTTTTTTCCTTTTTTTTTTGTACAGCTCAGTTTGGTTACGGGGTCGCGCTCAAGGAGATAAGAAAGATAAGCGGAGAAGCCCTCGCCTGAGCAAACGAAACAGCTGGCGAAAGGCGGCAAAAAAAAACGGAACTAAAAAAAAACTAGCTTTTCCTTCTTTTTTTTTTTACAGCGCAGTTTGGTTACGCGGTCGCGCGCAAGGAGATAAGAAAGATAAGGAGAGAAGCCCTCGCCTAAGCAAACAAAACAGCTTGCGAAAGGCGGCAAAAAAAAAAAAACCACGGAACTAAGAAAAAAACACAAAGGAGCTTTTTTTGCACAGCTCAGTTTGGTTACGGGGTCGCGCTCAAGGAGATAAGAAAGCAAGCGGAGAAGCCCTCGCCTGAGCAAACGAAACAGCTGGCGAAAGGCGGCAAAAAAAAAACGCTTTTTTTTCCTTTTTTTTGTACAGCTCAGTTTGGTTACGGGGTCGCGCTCAAGGAGATAAGAAAGATAAGCGGAGAAGCCCTCGCCTGAGCAAACGAAACAGCTGGCGAAAGGCGGCAAAAAAAAACGGAACTAAAAAAAAAACTAGCTTTTCCTTCTTTTTTTTTTTTTACAGCGCAGTTTGGTTACGCGGTCGCGCGCAAGGAGATAAGAAAGATAAGGAGAGAAGCCCTCGCCTAAGCAAACAAAACAGCTTGCGAAAGGCGGCAAAAAAAAAAACCACGGAACTAAGAAAAAAACACAAAGGAGCTTTTTTTGCACAGCTCAGTTTGGTTACGGGGTCGCGCTCAAGGAGATAAGAAAGCAAGCGGAGAAGCCCTCGCCTGAGCAAACGAAACAGCTGGCGAAAGGCGGCAAAAAAAAAACGCTTTTTTTTCCTTCTTTTTTTTTGTACAGCTCAGTTTGGTTACGGGGTCGCGCTCAAGGAGATAAGAAAGATAAGCGGAGAAGCCCTCGCCTGAGCAAACGAAACAGCTGGCAAAAGGCGGCAAAAAAACGGAACTAAAAAAAAAATTAGCTTTTCCTTCTTTTTTTTTTTTACAGCGCAGTTTGGTTACGCGGTCGCGCGCAAGGAGATAAGAAAGATAAGGAGAGAAGCCCTCGCCTAAGCAAACAAAACAGCTTGCGAAAGGCGGCAAAAAAAAAACAAAAAAAAAACCACGGAACTAAGAAAAAAACACAAAGGAGCTTTTTTTGCACAGCTCAGTTTGGTTACGGGGTCGCGCTCAAGGAGATAAGAAAGCAAGCGGAGAAGCCCTCGCCTGAGCAAACGAAACAGCTGGCAAAAGGCGGCAAAAAAAAAACGCTTTTTTTTCCTTTTTTTTTGTACAGCTCAGTTTGGTTATGGGGTCGCGCTCAAGGAGATAAGAAAGATAAGCGGAGAAGCCCTCGCCTGAGCAAACGAAACAGCTGGCAAAAGGCGGCAAAAAAAAACGGAACTAAAAAAAACTAGCTTTTCCTTCTTTTTTTTTTACAGCGCAGTTTGGTTACGCGGTCGCGCGCAAGGAGATAAGAAAGATAAGGAGAGAAGCCCTCGCCTAAGCAAACAAAACAGCTTGCGAAAGGCGGCAAAAAAAACAAAAAAAACACGGAACTAAGAAAAAAACACAAAGGAGCTTTTTTTGCACAGCTCAGTTTGGTTACGGGGTCGCGCTCAAGGAGATAAGAAAGCAAGCGGAGAAGCCCTCGCCTGAGCAAACGAAACAGCTGGCGAAAGGCGGCAAAAAAAAAAAACGCTTTTTTTTCCTTTTTTTTTTTGTACAGCTCAGTTTGGTTACGGGGTCGCGCTCAAGGAGATAAGAAAGATAAGCGGAGAAGCCCTCGCCTGAGCAAACGAAACAGCTGGCAAAAGGCGGCAAAAAAAAAAACGGAACTGAAAAAAAAAACTAGCTTTTCCTTCTTTTTTTT